AAAAAAAAAAAAAGGAAAGTGACACAATTGTATCACCTGCTCTCATTTTACAAATCAGAAAAGAAAATCAAATCCAAAGACTCTCAGAAAATCACGACTTAGGTTTTTCCTTTGCGGGGAGTTTTTCCTATTCCTTAATTGCTTGTTTTCTAACCAGCACCACAGGCAGTCAGATGCGAAGGTCAGCTCATAAACTTACTGGGCCATCTCTGACCTGGACTCATGTCGTTTTTGTCTGACACATTTCAAAAGTCTCACTCTTTTGCCTCAGGCTAGAGTGCTGTGGTGTCAGCCCAGCTCACAGCAACCTCAAACTCTTGGGTTCAAATGATCTCCTGCCTCAACCTCTCTAATAGCTGGGACTACAGATGCCCACCACACACCCAGCTAATTTTTCTATTTTTAGTAGAGGCGGGTCTTGCTCTTGCTCAGGCTGGTCTTGAACTCCTGAGCTCAAGCAGTCCTCTCTTCTTGGCCTCTGCTGGCACCTTTCATTGTTTGTTTGCTCTTGTTCTTCATTGATGTAAGAATTGGCAATTCCGTAGAAAATAATTTTTTTAGGCAAACAATAAAATTGACTTATAGCTTTTTTTCCCCCTTCTGTTTTTGGATGCCTAGAATATGCAATGGAATTAAACAGAAGCATTACTAGAAGTTTACAGAAGATAAGGAATCTTTTGTTTGTTATCAGTAATTCTCTGAAACATAAGCTTTCAAACTCCCTTTATTGGTAAGCATTACTGTATATTGGAAACTATGTGACAGGGTCTCTAAATAAGAGTGGCTTCAACAGGACAGAATTTTCGAATTTTCTCTCAGTTGAAAGTCCAAACTTTGGCATCTCTGCTCCACTCTGGGGGGTCTGATGGCCCCCGAGGGGTCTATCCCAGTACAGAAGGGGAAGGGCAAGTGCGGGCCACACTTTGCACACATGTGTTTCTCATTGAACAGAATGTGGTCTGTAGCCACTTCTTGCTTTATTGGAAGTTAGGAAATTCTAGGCAGCATTTTTTTCCAGTTAAAAATGGAAAGTTTTGCTATAAGAACTGGAGCCAGAATGCAGTGGCACACACCTGTAGTCCTAACATCTCAGGAGGCTGAAGCAGGAAGATCATTTGAGCCCAGGAGTTGAAGTCCAGTCTGGGCAATGGAAAGCTGATTCTGTCTCAAATAAAAATAAAAAGGAGGTAGAAACAGAGATTGAGAGATGATTTGTAGTTCCTGTCACTTTTCAGTTTTCTCTGATTCCTTTGCACTCTTGACTTTTTACATAAAACTTCTTTTCTCATAAAAGAAAAAAAACTTAGGAGAGTGAGAAGCTGAGGTAGGTAAATCTGAATTCTCAGAAGGGGGCCTATTTATGAGCCCTTAGTCTAGTCTGATGTCTCCACTTTCTGGTTTACCTCTGGTTTTAATTTCTAGGTGGTCTTCTTTTCATGACACCTCCTAATCCCACCCAAATTTGATACCATGTGAAGATGCAAAAGTTAATACATCTTAAACTCTGGCACTTTAGAAGATGGGTTGCTCTGAAGTAAAACTATAAATTATACCCAATAAATATGTAATTTACTTGCTATTAATTCATGTATGGAAAAGTCAGAAGGGCCAGCCATACATAATGATCAGCATAACCTGGCCATGAAAATATTTCAGATGATACATACAGCTTTTGATTCTATGTCAAGCACGGTATAAATCTGTATTGTACTTTTAAAATAGGAGACTAAGCGCTAATTTCATAAAACTCTGTTTAATGGTAAGAATAGTTATTACAGATAAATCTTTTACAATCTGGTTTTATCTGTCCTGGAAATACAAGGTGAATGGACTTGTGCTTCACAGTTAAAAACTTGATGCGAACATGAGGTTTTCTAGGAATAATGTTTAAATATAGTTAAAATTATAAATAAGGACTAAATAAGTTAATGCTAGTATTAAAGTATATTCTGCATTCTAAAATTATAATTTTTAAAAAGTATTTTAAATTTTCTTACCTAGTTGAGTGTCATTTGATTATCTTTTAAATGTTTCTGTATCATCTGAAAGCTTGACTTCTAAAACTTTAGCTTTTTAGTATTTTTTAGTCATTAACTTTATATCCTATGATTTTACTGGTTTTTCACATGTATTTGACAAGTATTTTCTTTTATATTAGTTAATTCTTCCCTGTTTTTTTCCAGTTGTCTTAAGAATTGACTAAATGGTCACTGAGGTAGTTCTAGGGAAAGGTATCCTGGGGCTGGGGCGGCTGGGCCATTCTGCTTAGAGTCTTTTCAGTAATAGGATTCTTAGACTACCTGTAATAGTCCAAGACTCTTGATTTATAAGTACCACTCATCTTTTATTTGGAGGCGAAGTTCTACTGGAATGCACTTGAATTAGGATTGTCCTTGTTTCCCTGTGGGGAAATTGCTTCCTGATATTCCAGACAGATCCACAGCTGTGTGAGAGCCAGACTTGTCTCCCTATAGGGGGATTCTGCCACTAATATATTCTCTACAGAAAATTTTACATTTGAAAAGAGAATTTTGTTTAATGGTAGCAATGAGAGACCTCTTACTTCACTATAATGGTGTCCAGGGAATGATGCATCATTCGGATTTTCAGACTATTCTAAGTGAAAAATACTTTTGTGCTGCTGGTTTAGGAATACATATCAGAGGGCCAGGGAATAAAAGAACTTTCATTTAGCTCTTCTTTTCTACCCATATGGAAACTCTGCACCAACTTGCAGATATGACTGTAACAGTTAAAGTGAAATAAAGGCCTTTTTCTTAATTTAGGACAAGTCATTTAAATCTTGTTGTTACTATCTTGTCTTGGAGAACTGTGCCTTTTTCATGTGGGTGCTGTTTATGCAGAAAAGCTTTTGTCCACAGCACAGACAAAAGTTAATGCCTTGCATGTACAACATAAACAGTCTCCAACTAACAATCAGGACCTGTTCCAAAAATTCATTTATAAGGCATTTGTTTAAAACTCAGAATGTGTTTGTCCTTAGAAACATTGGTATAAATGATGGGAGTGGGGCAAACTGTCCCACCAAAGCCTATTTAATGCATAATGAGACTAACCTCATCCGGTCTCACTTTATCTATACCCTGGAAAGAGGGCTCTCATACAATGGAAGGAGGAAAAGGAAAAGACAATCTTTGTCTTTCTACTTCCAGGGTCCCTTTTCCCTCATTTAAAAAATCTTTCTTATTCTCTTATGTTTGAGAAAGAGGGAGGGATTCTTGTTTTTCGGTATCCCATCCTGACCAAACATCCCCTGCTCACACCTACTCTTAAAATGAGTACAACTGATCTCAGAATAGAAGGAATCTGATCTTTTGACCTGACATGTGCTTTTGTGCCACTCACTGTGGTCCTGTGACCCTCTGATTTTTAAAATATGGTATTTCCTAACCATATAATTCTCTAATTAGTGGGTTTCTAGTCTATGTTATAGAGTGAAGACTGAGAAAGGAGAATGTTATTTTGGAACTGGGCCACCATACAAAAGCAATGGTTCCCCTAATTTGGTCGTTCTCAGCTGAGGTTCATACTGTCCCCCAGGGGACATTAGGCAATGTCTGGAGATATTTTTGATGTCACAACTGGACAGCTAGTGAGTAGAGGCCAGAGAGGCTGCTTAATAGCCTCTACTGCATGGGTGAACCACCCGCAGCACTTAAAATGTCCACAGAGCTGAGCAGAGAAACATGCTTTAAGTATATTACAAAGTGTTACATTGCAGGTGTTATGCTGGGGATTTCTTGGTCTAGTTTGGGAAGGGCAGGATTTAAAAACTTACTGGGTATTTTGAGTTGACTGGCAGTTGTAACTTTGGTTCTCTCTCCCCAAACCCCCTAATCCAGATGTGAAATTAGCATATCCTCTACTTGAAATTGACAGAAATGTATTGAGAACCTACTGTGCATCAGCCTTTTTGAAAGCACTAGAGACCGAAGGGAATAGCAGGGAATAAGACCGAATGTCATTTTCACAGTCTGTATTCTAGTGGGCATGGGGGAAACAAGTAACTACATAAGTATGTGTCTCTGTTTTCTTTGTAGAGAACGGATAGAAGAGAGTAAAAGAAGGTACTAGGTGTTATGAAGAATAAAGAAATAACGCAGAGTAGAGATGAAAAGGGTTGGGAAGGAATTGGACTTTTAAACAAGGAGGTGAGGAAAGGCCTTGTTCAGAAGGTGGCATTTCAGAGGGAAGTGAAAGCAAGCGTGTGGTTGTCCTAGGAGAGGAGACTCAGGCTGAGCTAGAGCAATTGCAAAGACCCTGGGATGGGAGCCCCTTAGGCTGCCCTTGAGCACTTCCCCCATGGAAATGCTGTAGGCCCATTCTGCAGCAGGGTGAGCTGGATGGAGCCTTAGGATTTCCTGAAGTTGTCTGACCACACCGCCAGCGGAGGGGCTCATGTGGGAGTCAGGAAGGGTCCTCAATAAAATGCCTATGTAACAGTGTATTCTTTATAAGTCTTTCCCTTCTGTGTATGGACTTGGAAAATCTGAAAACTCTGGGTAACTGTATGAATGTATTCAGGGCTGTAATACATTTTGAGGAGAGGGAAATGAGAAGTCAAAAGTAGGTATTTAATTGTTTGGGTCTATGATATGTTCTCTGCTGGCTGGTGGCCCCTTTTATGGGGTCCCTCACCCTGTGGCACTTGTTGCATGGCGTGACTGTAGGGCTCAGGACATTTGGCTCACACATTGACAGCTTGCATGTCATGCATCCACTGCGTGCTGCTGGCTCAGGGCTTCACTCCCAGAGAACATCAGTTGGAGGCTATGAATGGCACCTGGGGGGCAGGATGCTCTGGGTCCTCCCCACGTTCGTCACACTGAAGGATGTGAACCTTATTCTCAAGAGCAACAATCCCATCTTTGTTGGAGAAAATGTATTTCCTGATGGTTGTCTCCAATTCAGAGACAAGAAAGAGATTTTAAAAGCATGTTCAATTTTTTTAAATCCATTTAGGACACAGCGCTTTACACCTCGCAGCTAAGAACAGCCACCACGAGTGCATCAAGAAGCTCCTACAGGTAAAGTGGTGACAATGTGATGCTATAAATGGATCATTTGTACAATGTAAAGATAACTTTTATCTGTGAAAGAACAAATACAACCCCCCCCCATATATGTGATGTTAAATATTCTTCCAGTACCTATTGCCTTAAAAAAATGTCATTCTTGAAATGACAGCCAAGGAGAAGATCGTTTCCATAGCAGCCCCACCAGTAGAGAGAGAATCCGACCAAAATGTGTGAGCGTCTTTCTGGAATCCAGCCTTTTCCTTCCATTCATTTGGCTTTTCTGAAGGACTTAGACCCTCTAAATAATCAATCTTTAAAAAACCTTTTTCCAAGCTGTTGGAGATTTTTATAACACAGGATCTCCAATATCTTACTATTCTCTCTTTAAATCATTAGTAGAAGGCAGTTCTTCTCGAGAAGCAAAATTTCAGCCGTTATTTCCTTGCGTGTAACTTGAGCTCTTAGTTCTCAGTTTTTGTTTAAGTTCTTGGTTTTATTCTTCTTTATAATTTTAAGCCAACTCCCTGGTTTGATAACCTTGCCAGTAAGTTTATAATGATCCCTTGCAATGACAACTTCCATAAATCTTTAAAGATGAATATTTAATGAACTCCCAATAGCAGTCCGTACAGCAACATCCAGCTGTTGCCGGTCAAATTGCAAGCTGGCTGTTTTCAGAAACAGCATAGGGCAATAAAATATGTGTTTGGAGTACTATCTGTTCTCTTGAGCTGTTGTCTCAGCCTTCACAAGCACTGTTTGGGAAGCAGCATCTTGCTTTAATTTGGCTTTGAAATTTTAATACAGAAATGTGGTCACATTTCTCAGCTTGTCCAGCTCTGTTGATCACATAGCTTCTTGTTTTGTATCACATGATGTAAGCTACTGCCAGTTCCAGGAATGTGAAACCTCAACAGGTCTTTGAAGCAAAATTCAAGAAAGATTGATCGATGTCTGTGACGTTGCATTACGAGGCTTCCCCTGAAGATAGTCAAAATGGTACTCTTCTGACCTGCCTCCTCTGGGACCAGGCATTCTGGATAACTGAAAATCATTCACTTGCCCAAGTGCCCAGCCTCCATGCCCTTGGCTCTACCTCAAGGATTTTAAAAAATTTATTTGTATTTTAAATCTCCATTCCCATCCTGGATTGACTATCCAGGTTTTGCATCTGGCTCTGATTTTAAGGAAGAATTAACCTGACAAGCTGGAAATCCCTGTGGGTAAGGACCAGATATTTTAGCCTCTAATGTAATTTTATATCTGGTTATGCAGATGCATTGGTTTTTCTCTGAAATCTTTGAAGCCTTTAAACAGTTCCTTGTGCTGTTCTAAAATTAGGCCAAAGCATAGTAAGTGGTAACTTGATCTCGATTCCGCCCACTAAGTGGCAGATATTTCACTTTTAAGGTAGCCTGTTTTCCTGTTTTTGCCTCCTAACTTCTAGAACATCCAAGTTGCTCTTCTTTCAGGATAGGTGTCCAGCCTCAGCCTTTGATGTCCTCCTGATGGGCGACTTTCCTGAGGTCCTTCACCCCCGTCTCAGCAGCCTGGCCTCTGTGTGATGTGACCCCTTTTGCCTCCATCTCATCCTCATTCCTCCACCCTGTGTTTACTGATGTCTCTAGGTTCTCCAGGCAGTTATTCTCTGACTGCTGGAGATATTTCCCACTTCTAGTGGCTACAAATTTAACGGTCTTCCTTCTTGAGGCAATGAGCACAAATAGAGCCTTGTGAGATTCTTCAAATTCAAACAAACTCTCTCCTTCCCCTGATCGCTGGCTACCCTTTCTTACACCAAGTGCTCCCTGGACACTACACGAAGTCATTCATTGAATATATTCTAGTGACCAGAGCAGCCCCTATCCTGGTGGAGCTCACAGTCTGGTAAACAAGTACCCAGATATACATTATAGATAGCATAGCTCTAAGAAGGAAATGAACAGGCCACTGTGAGAGGAGTGAAAGCTGGAGGTTCAGAGATGCAAAGAGCCAAGGGGAAGCATTCCAAGAAAATAGAACAGCAGGTGCAAAGGGCCTGGGGCAGGAAAGGTACTGCAGAGAAGAAGGAAAGCCAGTGCTTGGGCCTGGGGCAAGGCAGGCCAGGAGGAAAATGGTATAGCGTGTGGGCCCTTGTATGTCACAATAGGCAGATGGCAAGTAATTAATCCTCAGTACAACTTGGAGCTCCGAAGGGCTTTTAGGTAGACAGTGGTGTTAGAAGTCTTAAGAGATCTTTCTAGTTTTATAGAGAATTGATTAAAAAGGAAAAAAGCAGATCTGAGGAGATCTGCTTTGGAGAAAGAATTGATGGACATAGTAGATTAGATGTGGAGAAGTTATAAAAGATGATAATTTCCCAGTTTCTGGCTCAGTAACTAGATCGAGAGACTGGTAAATAATCCAGAGGAGCAGGCTAGCTGCAGGGCAGGGGGAAGCCAGCACTTTTTGCTGCGCTACCTTTGAGGTGCTTATAAGACATTAGATTAAAGATGTGAGGCAAGCAGTGGGTGAACAAGCTCAGCACCCCAAGATGACATTTGTTGGGTATGGATTACAGTACAGGTGAGTTTGAATCTCAGCTCTGCCGTTTACTGGGACTTGGGCAGATGATTAATTTTGTGGCTCAGTTTCCTCTTCTGAAATTGGGGGTTAATAATCATCTAGCTAGAGTTGTTAGGCAATTCTTAGAACACAAGATAGCCGATACTTATATAATACTTAACAATTACTGTTGTTGTTGAGATTTACATCTGGAAAGTCACTAGCTTCTGGACTTCTAGATGGTACTTCAAGGTGTGTGGACGGGTTTACTGAAGCAGAGAGCTTAGTGAAGGGGCACCAAGGAACCCTCAGGTTCTCTGTTTGGCTACAGTAGGGAGTATGTTCAGGGCAGCAGGAGGAAAATGGGCCAGGCAGGGCTTTAGGAGTGGAGGGAGGATTGCCTGAGTAGAGGGAGTGGGTGGCAGCTATAAGAGGTGGAAACATGAAGCTGACCTTGACTAGGGCCAGTTTATGGAGTCTTGAGAGCAGACACCAAACTGCAGCAGGCCCAGACTGCATGGAGGCAAGAAACGTGGGCTGCGTGTAGGTAATTTCTAAGGAAGGCTGGTTTGGGGAAGGAGCACAGGTACTAGGGCAGGAGATGAGGGACAGGTAGGCTCAAGGTGAAACATCCTAGAGCATGTTTGCCATGACAGATGCTGTAAGGGGATGAAGGGGGCAGGCAGAGTGGCAAAGGGGGGCAGTGTGCCTGACCCAGAAGAGAGGAGTCTACCTGTCCGTGTGAGACTGCAGGCCTTGAGCACAGCGTTGGGGCTTATTTATGTTTATAGCCTTCCTAATAAGTCACATTGTACCTTACAGGAAAAGGACGAACCAAATAGAATTTGTGCAGGATATTTTATTATGTGTATTTATCTTTGTCTTATAGTCTAAATGTCCAGCTGAAAGTATTGACAGCTCTGGGAAAACAGCTTTACACTACGCAGGTAACTCTCATTCTTGTCTCCTGCCGTAGGTAACTCTAGGTTTCCATTTATTCCAGCCATATATATAACCTTACCGTTCTAGTCCTCACGTTGACGTCCAATGTCATTTTTGGACATCCCCATTTTACTCAGTTTGTAAAGTGGAGTTTTATACCAAGGGGCACACCTAGAATTCTTCAGTTGCCTGCCACCCATCCAGTAAATAGTGAGTACTAGTTGTGGAAAAGCTAAATCCTAGGAAAAGCTGACCCACATGTTTGCCTCCAGGCAACTGGCAGTCACTGGTTTTAGGTCTACATAACTCTGAAATCAAGCAGTAATTTTTTTTTTTTTTTTTTTTTAGAAACAGAGTCTCCCTTTATTGCCCTCAGTAGAGTGCTGTGGTGTCACAGCTCATAGCAACCTCCAACTTCTGGGCTCAGGCGATTCTCTTGCCTCAGCCTCCCAAGTAGCTGGGACATCAGGTGCCTGCCACAACACTTGGCTTTTTTTTTTTTTTTTTTTTTGGGCAGTTTGGCCAGGGGCTGGGTTTGACTCTGCCACCCTCCGTATATGGAGCTAGCTCCCTACCCACTGAGCCCCAGGTGCCACCCTCAAGCAGTAATTTAAAACATGCCATGCTTGACCCTCTATCACCTTTTCTCTTCAGTGCAACTAGAGTAAACAGGTGTAGACTGGGTAGAACATGAACCTTTCCTTCCTAGAAGGTTTTGAAGGTTCTGGTTGTGTGAGTAGCTTTGTGATTGGCGATGGTGTTTGTGTTTTCCATCCCTCAGCTGCGCAGGGCTGCCTTCAAGCCGTGCAAGTTCTCTGTGAGCACAAGAGCCCCATCAACCTCAAGGATTTGGTAAGTACCAGGTGGTTGTAGAGGTGGAGATGGACCCTGGTTTCTAGAGCGCAGCAGGCTACTTCTAGAGTCACTAAGACTTCAGATACCTAAGTATTTGGCATAAGTTCTGTTGCTTCCGACCTAGTTCCTTTTCTACAAAATGGGTTTATATGTCAATGGGATAATATAATGAAGCATTGATATATGTATATGTTATATAATACATATACAATAATTCTGCAATTGAGTGTGGTTACAGGGTTAAATTTCAGGCTATAGCATGAGAATTGACATGCTTATACTTGTATACCTGATGGAGATAGTGTGAAGTGATTTCTGCCAGGTAGAATCTACGAACAAAGTCATACTCCCTGAATTTTAGTACTTTAGAACCAGAAAGGATTATAACTTGATGGAGATAATGCCTAGAAATCTATTTGAAATGCTACTATAAGACTTAATTCTTAAGTAGCAATTATATTTTTAAAAATCCCCATTTTTAAATAGTTGTATATAACTTAACCTTCTTTCTTTGTCTGTTTGAACAGTTTCTGCCTTGATGCTTATCATTAACTGATTTGTGGGGTATGTTCCAGGAAAAAAAAAAAAAAGTAAAATAACAACCTCTCTTTATGGTTTGTGTTAGGCCTAAGATTACAGAAAATACCTAATATATTGTAGTTTTTCTCACTTATTTTATAGTGTAATGTTTAAATTCTTTGTCCACCTGATATACAGAGATGATATATGAATTGGAGGTCTAATTTTCTTTTTTCTCAAAGAGATTGCCAATTTTCATGACATATTAAACAATTCCTCTCGACTACCTCCTTATCTAGTCCTGGTTAGTAATCTGTAGTAGACAGGCTGACTTCTAATTTGTGTTGCGTTTTGATACCTAGTAAGATTATTAAAGGTTACACTTTCTGGAAGAGAAAAGTGGAATGACAGGATATACTTGCTTAGAGGGAAGGGGATATTTTCTTACCATGTGGAAACAAGTTCTTCATTCCCGCAGAACTATCCCTTGATACACCTGGTATACTTGCCTTGAGCCTTTACACACTTTATGTTCCACCCTTTCTCACATCATCACCCAGACCAAGAGATAGCTGAGAGATTATAAGAAGCCCCAGAGGCTTGAAGCTCCTAGGGGAAAAACTAACAGTCAGCAAATTCCATGAGAGGAATTGTGCCAGCATGTAATGGTAGGCCCGCACGCGCACAGAATATCATGAGGGATCAAATAATAGACCAAAAGTACAAGTCAGTCGGGGGGTGGGGGGAGGGTGTAAAGAACGAGGGCTGGTGTCCGCAATTCTGACATTCGGTGTCTGAGTTAAAGTCTAAATCTGAGTTTGTCTCCTAGGATGGGAATATACCACTGCTGCTTGCAGTGCAGAATGGCCACAGTGAGATCTGTCGCTTTCTCCTGGATCATGGAGCAGATGTTAATTCCAGGGACAAAAGTGGAAGGTACCACAGGATTAGGCAAAAAGCTTATGACCTCAGCAATGTCCACTGCTGTCTTTGAAAATATCATACCTGAATTTTGGGCGATTTATTATAAAGGAGTCTTAACTTTTTCCTTTTTAAAATTTCTAACTCTTTTGATAATCAAGAATCTGTGCTGACTTCAAAGCAGTTTTTCCCAGACCTTTCTGGGCATCACTGCTGACTAAGTCTGTGATGAGACCATTAAATACTGAAGTAAACGAGCATTTCCCGTGACTTTTCACACAAAATAAAATACAAGTAAATATAAAGTTGCTTCTTAAAAATAGCATAGGTTCTTGAAAATGCTTGATGTGAAATGAGAACAAGATTTGTGCCAATAATATTAAATTCCATCCTATTATGCCAAATAGTATAGACAATTATGTCTATGTTGCTTGGCTGATATGGTTTAAGGTTTTAATCTGAAGTTAAAAAAACCCAAAAAACCTAATTTTATCTTGAGAGCATTCCATTTCAAGTTTCCCAGAAGATTAAGAGTAGTAAAGGTTTAACTATAGTTAATCTTCTTTTCTTTGTTTTCAAGACAAATGATTTCCCAGGAAAGACTTTTTACAATCCATTAGTACTAATTTTGTTTCTTTTCTTTTCTTCTTTTTTTTTTTTCCATTTTGTTTTGTTTTTCAGAACTGCTCTCATGCTGGCTTGTGAGATTGGCAGCTCTGACATTGTTGAAGCCTTACTTAAAAAGGGTGCAGACCTAAACCTTGTAGATTCTCTTGGACACAATGCCTTATATTATTCCAAACTCTCAGAAAATGCAGGAATTCAAAGCCTTCTATTATCAAAAATCTCTCAGGATGCTGGTATGTGAAAGAAAATAGCCAATGTTGTTTTAAATTTATCCAGTTCATTTTCCCCAAAGGATGAAGGAATGTGTGCAATATGATATATTTTATTCTTTTAAACATATTATTGAAAAAAATTGAAGTGTTGTGTGTTTATCTCCCCCCAAAAGTTTATGTGAGTTACTATGGTTCTTATAGTTTTTTTTCCCCACTTTTTCCTTTATAGATTTAAAGACCCCGACAAAACCAAAGCAGGTATTTATCTTTGGGCAAAGGATTTTTGGGCTTTTGGGTTTTTGTTTTTTTCTGTCTTCGCTTGTGGGAATTTGAAAATATTCAGATTAAACCACTCTGTGGTCTACTAGAAAAGTGATAAAGACTGTACTGAAAATATTTAAGCACTGAAATGTCTTCTGAATAAATGATTCATTGTTACAAAGTGGTAAATATTTTCTTAACAATTTATTTTAAAAGCATGTAACTTTAAACTTGCTACTTATTTATTCATCTTTTTCTGAAATGTACTAATACTTCCTATTGGGTAAAAATATTAGATGTGGTTTAAATTCTCAGGCTGAATAACAATAATTCATATGCTTATAATATCACATGGATGTCCTATAGCCATGAAAATATTAGATACACATATTTAATTAAAATTAGAGAACTTACCTTTTTTCTTTTAATGAGAGATTTTCTAAAATGTCATACAGTGTTATGCAAAGTAGAAATTGAGAAGTTTGACCTGTTATTTTTTAGTTTTTCCTAGCAACATGTTGTAACTGTTTTTGAGAAGGAGATATATGTTTGGTTGTTATATTTAATTATGTATGCATCAGGATTCTTGAAATCATAAACAACAAATAATATTGAATTTATTATGTTCTAACTAGATTACTTATTTATCAATAACCTTCAGAGATGAGGTTCCCCTTTCCCTCATATTTACATTCTTTAAAAGAAGGAATGAAAGTAATACAGAGAGGTATGGGGAATCCCACAGCTTTTCATTAAGACAGAAAGCTGACTCTGAATGTATTCTGAGTTCTAAACTGTGGTAGATAACTCCTAAGCCTCTGCTTTCCTAGTATTCCACACCAACTTAGTCTGGTTTGTCTTACATGTTTGTATTTTCTTGCTATTTAAGCATGGGCTACTAGAAGAAAACTTGGAGCATGCATATTATTTATTTTTATAATGATAGCAGATTTAAATCTTGATGGATTAAGAAATGCATGAACTTTTGAGTTTTTCTCATTTGTTTGATGAAGCTACTCGCTCAGACTTTTACTAACCTGACTAACCCACCTCCATTCTTTGGACTGTGATAACTTTCAGCATGATCAAGTCTCTAAAATAAGCTCAGAAAGAAGTGGAACTCCAAAAAAACGCAAAGCTCCACCACCTCCTATCAGTCCTACCCAGGTAAAAACAAAAGCAGACTACCAATCAACAAACGTACAACAATAAAGCCATAATTTTGTCATTTCTGCTTAGGCCAAAAAAAGGAATGTTTTAGAACTGGCCCTTAAGAGTACGTTTAAATTTTTTCATATGCATTTTTAAGTTATAAATTGTGGCAAGGGTTTTGATTATTAGTATGGAAATAATGTTGATTATTTTAAAGTTGTAGAGTTTTATCAGTATCTTTTTTTTTTAAGCCTCAAGGAAATTTGTCAAAATCTTACAACAGAAATCTTTCCCTTAAGATAATAAACTCAGTCCATTTTTAGTTCCTCATATTAACAGTTCTAGTAAGGGGTGGGAGAATAAGTAGCTAGTGAGGCAGTTAGTTGAAGATATATTTTAGTTGGTTTTTTAAAACACTGCTACTATATGTTTGCCTTTCTAATTACAAGGTTGGCTAATACGTAAGTCACTACGAAAGTTTTGAGACAGACTATGGTACAGTCCATTATTTTACTTCCAAGAAATGACAGTTGACAGCCTCCTTTCTGATTCACTGATGCAAGTTTCAACTTGCTTGGCTTATTGGTGTTGCTCGTTTTTTTACATCTGCGCAAATTTTACATTTCTTGATGCTTGTTTAACTCAAAACTTTCATAATGACCCTTAAAAGTACATTTTATTCCTGAGCTTATAGTGATTACAGCATAGAACAGGAAGTACAGAAATCTTTGTAAATGGCAAATAACAAGAGGATAGAGTTTGCTATTAAAACTTCACAGCCCACAAAGAGAATAATCCACATTTTATTTTATTTAATTAATTTATTTATTTTTTGAGACAGAGCCTCAAGCTGTCCCCCTGGGTAGAGTGCCATGGCTTCACTGCTCACAGCAACCTCCAACTCCTGGGCTCAAGCGAGTCTCCTGCCTCAGCCTCCCAAGTAGCTGAGACCACAGACGCCCGCCACAACGCCTGGCTCTTTTTTGGTTGAAGCCATTATTGTTGCTTGGCGGGCCTGGGCTGGATTCGAACCCGCCACCTTAGGTGTATGTGGCTGGCACCTTAGGCGCTTGAGCCACAGGCGCCGAGCCATAATCCATATTTTAAAAAGAAATATCAATAAGTAATTTTAAGTATATTTTAGTATATTTATTCTTAACCTGGAATAGAAGTTTTATAGATTGATTCTAATTAGTATAGGAGCAATATTACTTAGTTATACTCTGCAAACTTTCAAAAAGTATTTGAAATAACTCAATTGCACTGAAAGTATGTTACCCTGAATTAATTGAAGCTAAGGATCCTACTGTTAGATTTAATTGGACTGGTTAAACAGGTTGATTCTTTGGCACTGGAGAAGGAAAGATTTTGAAGGAAGATTTATCAGTGGTTTTTATTTGTTTATTTTTTTTAGTTGAGCGATGTGTCTTCCTCAAGGTCGATAACTTCAACACCACTTTCAGGAAAGGAATCAGTATTTTTTGTTGAACCACCCTTCAAGGTATTTCCTTTCTGTGTTCAATTTTGTTACTATATTTTAAAATACTGTATGTGATAGACTTGCTTTAAGTTATACAACACTATGAAAAATAGAATATACTTCTGAATCATTTGTTCACAACCTTTTCACTGTGAAGGACCCCCCCTTGATTATTTTCCCTGGCATGAACCCCACAAAATAAGAATAGGGTCAGTCAGTTGTATTTACTTATGAAGAATTAATTTTCCTCATTTAAGAAAAAGAAACAGAGTTCACTTATGTGGAATCTGAAAAAGTTGAACTCATAAAAGCAGAGAGTAGAATGGTGAAAAGAGGGATAGAGGGTTGGAGAGATGTTCAAAAGATACACCATTTCAGATAGAAGGAATAAATTCAAGAGATCTATTGTGTGACATGGTAGTGACTATAGTTTATGATGATGTATTGAGAATAGATTGTGTGTTCTCATCATAAAAAATAACAAATATGTGAGGTAACACATATGCTAATTAGCTATATTTAGGCATTCCATGTTATATACATATTTTAAAACATCATTATGTACATAATATATTTAATTTTTGTTTGTCAATTAAGAAATTAATTTTTTAAAAAGAGAGTAGGTATGAAAGTTACTAGATTCTGACTGGCCGTCACTCTTCTCATTTTTTCCTGAATTAACGATTGTTTAGGAAATAGCAAAAATTATATTTTAGAAAATCCTCTGTAATTGCCTGGATTGGATCCCGGGACAGAAAAAGGATATTAATGAAAAAACTGGTACAATCTGAATAAAGTCTATAAATAAGTTGATAATAATTTACCCATGTTAAGATCTTCATTTTGACAAACATATCATGGCTACATAGTTTATTAACAGTAGGAGAAAGTGAGTGAAGGGTTCTTGTACCTTCTTTGTAAAAAAAAAAAAATGTGTAGGAACTTATCTAATAACCAGCCTTTCTCTCTGTATTTTTTTTTTTTTTTTGAGGCAGAGTCTTGGTCTGTCACCTGGGCTGGATGGAGTACAGTGGCATGAAGCTCACTGCAACCTCCAATTCCTGGGCTCAAGTAATCCTCCTGCCTCAGCCTCCTTAGTAGATGGGACTTCAGGGGTATGCCACACAATACCTGGCTAATTTTTATACTTTATGAGATGGGCGTCTCACTCTTACTCTAGCTGCTTTTAAACTTCTGGCCTCAAGTGATCCTCCTATCTCAGCTTCCTGAAGTGCTAGGATTATAGGTGTGAACCACTATGTCCAACTGATAATTAGTCCTCATGCCAAAGAGATAGAAACTTTTGTTATTCTCCAATTTCTTACTGAAAAATAATTGTATATTTTTAATTAAACATTTTCCTGATTATAAAAGTAGTACATAATTTTATTTTAGGAAATCCATTAAGTCTTATTCCCCTGATTCTATAGATATGTGATTAGAAAAGTATTTTAAGGAAATGGGGTATATTTCTATTCAGTATTTGCTTACCTAACAATTACTGGGAAATTATACTTGGGAAAAGATAAAGTTTGTAATTATTAAAATGAAATTTCAGTTGTATAATTTTATATTTTGCTTTCCCTCATCCAAAAATTACTGAAAATGTTTTCTTTTAACTTGTATGCACATTAATATGAAAAAGATTCTATTGATCTGTCACTTTTCTCATTTTATACTTTAAACTCTTAAGATGAATTCCCATGTAAGGGAAGGCAAAGAAGTCATGCTTTTATAATTAGTACCCTAATATCTTTTAATATGACTGTGGCTTAAAAGAATCAAAATGTTTCAGTGAATAACATCACAAGTCATGATTTTCAGGAATATAAAAGACTGTCATTTCTCAGCAAAGAAATAGGGTAAAAAAAAAAAGGGGGGGTACTTGTTTAGAATGGCCAAAGTAAAAAGACTAAAATACCAAGTGTTAGTGAGGACATGGAAGAAGTAGAACTTTGATACTCTGTTGATAAGTATGTAAAATGGTACTACTTCTTTGGAAAACTGTTTCTTTCAAAATTAAACATACACCTAATATATGATCCAGCTGTCCACTCATAGGGGCTTCCCCAAAAGAAATGAAAATACATGTTTACCCAAAATCTTATGCACAAATATTTGTAGCCATTTTATCCACAATATCCCCAAATTGGAAACAATCCAAATGTCTATCAACAAGTGAATGGATAGAAAAAATACACATAATGAGATATATTCCTATAATGGAATATTACTCAGCAATAAAAAGGAATAAACTGCAATATCAGCTATGTCATAGGTGAATCTAAACAATCCTGCTGAGTGAAAGAAGCCAGTCACAAAAGTTTATACTGTAAGATGTTACCTCATATAGAAATTCTACAAAATTCAATAAGGAGAGTCATATTTGTCTGGGAAAAAGAGTGGACAAGATTGGCTATGATGAAGCATGAGAAGAATTTTAGGAGTAATGGAAATCTGTATCTTGTTCATAGTGGTGGGTCCATGGGTATACATGTGTCAAAACCTCCTCTAGGCCAGACATGGTGGTTCATACCTGTAATCCCACTTTTCGGGAGGCCAGCTCAGGAAGATCACATGAGACCAGGAGTTGGAGACCAGCCTAGTCACCGTAGTAAGACCTATCTCTATAGAAAAAGACAAATGAGCTGAGTGAAGTGGTGCACAGCTGAAGGCTTAGCTGTTCAGGGGTCTGAGGTAGGAGGATTTCTTGAACCCAAGAGTTTGATGTGGTAGTGAGCTATGATCCTACCACTGCACTCCAGTCTTGGCAATAGATTGCGACCTTTCCTCTAAAACAGAAAACACCTCCCAAAATTGTAAAGTTAAACTGTTTAAAGTTTAATTTAACTGTTTATTATACCTCATATAGTTGAAAACCTAAAAGTAAGTACACTTTTTATAAAAGAGAAAGGACTAGTTTGTATAAAGATAAGCACTTGCCAAAAATAAGCTACTCTATATTTAGCATTTGGACTTTTACAAAGGTTCCTTTGATGAGAAACTCTACCTTTTATCATTATCTGTGGTTCATTTAAATGAAACATACTGATTTTTGGCAAGTCACTGTAATGTTTTGAAATGAAAATGTGGCTTTGAAGTTCCAAGAATTTTTGCAATATATTAACAGGCAGATATTCACAAACAAAGGATTAAAGGAAATCTTCCAGGAATCATTTGCAATCCAAGACCATATAAAATTATGATTATCTTTCCTGACAGGTCTTTTTGTTATGATTTCTCTTAGATTAATAATAACATTAGTATCAGGTAACTTATAAAATGATAAAGCTAAAAAATATGCTTTAAAATATTTTAATCAACATAGAACACAGGTGGCTAGAACTTCTATTTGACTTCATGATGAAAATAGTATTTGCCATTTCAGGTTTTATGATATAGCCCAATAAATCAGCTATTATGTAGTCTTAAGTATATTTATATGTGTACTCACTAAGTGAATTTTCTGAAAAATATTTTGAGAGTATACCCTCTGCAGCTTCTAATGTGTTAGAAATCATACCTTTGTAGATAACTGTCATTTAAAATATCTTATTTCCTTGAGATCTTCTAGCTGTTTATTCAGAGTAGGATAATATGGACCCTGCTGTGTATAACTGCAAGGAAGAAAATCAGATGGTAATTCTTTTGAGTCATTTTTTTTGTTTCAACAGGCCGAGATCAGTTCTATACGAGAAAACAAAGACAGACTAAGCGACAGTACTACAGGTAAGATGAGGCGGCCAACTTTACCTCATGTTCGTTTCAACAGAGCAAAGGTCAGGCCAGGGTCCTCGGTACAGCATGGTTGAGAGCCAGCACGCTGGTGCAGGGTTGCCAGTAATGCACTCGCTGACATGCTCTGTACTTTGGGGGCCTTAACCTGGATTTTAAAGAGTCTCTCAGTTTGGATGTGAAAAAATACACTTCTATTTTCATTCGTCCTTAACTGAATGTTAGCATTTCCTTCGATTATGAGTATAGGCAGTAAACCCCCATGGTAGTAGACTAGTGACTTTGTCACCAAGAGAATTCCTATCACCTTACTGCTATTGCAAATACCTCAAAATATTGTTCACAATATGTTTACCGAAAATTGTTATTAAACCTGCTGTTAGATCGTATTTGGTGTGTTACAAAACGAGCTCTTAAATTACCAGAGCCTGTATAATTTATACATTTAAAAGCATTATCTTGAGATGGGGTCCAGAGGCTTCAGGCTGTCTGCTAATTACTTGTCGAAGCTGAGCAGCAAGTTACTTCACAGAGTGGGACCAGCTATACACCTCCACAGCTGTCTCAACTGAACTTTTCTACTTTGGATTTTAAGTGAACATCAGCAGAGATGGTGTTAATGAAATCGTATGCAATCATGTTGTCTTCACCAAGATAGGGTCTTGTTATGTTGTTTTGTTTTTCTTCCTCCTAAGCCATGGCAAGAGTTTAATTCACTGTGTCTTTTAATAGTATCTCCTAAGAGTTTACTCTTTAAGACCATAATACAGCATCTTCAGAATCAACTTTACATGTAGAATAGATGATTTCAAAGATCCATTTTTGCTCCCAAATTCAGTTTCTTTTCCTTCCTCCTTCTCCTCCTCCTCCTTTTTTTTTTTTTTGTGAGAGACTGTCTCACTATGTCACCCTTGGAAGAGTGCTGTGGCATCATAGCTCACAGCAACCTCCAACTCTTGGGCTTAAGTGATTCTCTTGCCCCAGCCTCACAAGTAGCTGGGACTACAGGTGCCCACCGCAGTGTCTGGCTATTTTTTGTTGCAGTCATCATTGTTGTTTAGCTGGCTTAGGCTGGATTCGAACCCGTCACCCTGGGTGTATATGGCTGGTGCTGTAACCACTGTGCTACGGGCGCTGAGCCAGGATTCAGTTTCTTAATCTATTGTGCATATCATACGTGTTTGGAGCCTTTAATTTGCAGAATTTAGAAATATTGAACTATCTTATTCCTGGCAGATACAAATGTTAATATAAATGAATAAGAGTTACATCAGATACTTTATTTTTATTTATTTATTTATTTATTTTGAGACAGAGCCTCAAGCTTTCCCCCTGGGTAGAGTGCCATGGCATCACAGCTCACAGCAACCTCCAACTCCTGGGCTCAAGTGAGTCTCCTGCCTCAGCCTCCCAAGTAGCTGGGACCACAGGCACCCCCTGCAACACCCGGCTATTTTTTGGTTGCAGCCATCATTGTTGTTTTGGCGGGCCCAGGCTGGATTCGAACCCGCTACCTTAGGTGTATGTGGCTGGCGCCTTAGCCACTTGAGCCACAGGCGCTAAGCCACATCAGATACTTTAAAAACCTTCCCTTATATCTTAGAAGTAATTTCTATTGCTTAGCATTGCAGGCATGCTCCAATTCCCTCATTCATTTCACTGACCACACTTCACTGACCACACTTCATGTGGAGGGGAATCAGAATGCTGTGACTTAGGCATCAGAACAGTGCCTTATAATCAGAAGCAAGCATTTCTACAAAGCAATGTCTTTTTGCCTTCTTCCAAATTAAGATGAACATCTGTGTCTTAAATGGCTGTGAGAAAATAAAGAGCATAATAATAAAAAGTTTAGATCAGTCCTATTTAGAGTATGACCTGTACACTATTGCTGTCTGCTTTAGTAAAGGAGTTTGCACCAGAAATTTATCAGCTTTCACAAAGCACCCCCCTGTTTTGCCCAGCTGATACTTTTTTCGTCAGAAGACTTTCTGGATGAAGCAAGCAGTACATTGTGTTACGTTATGGAGGAAGTTCTTTGTCTCAGTGAATGCTTTGAACAGCACCACTTTAGATGCAATTTCAGCTTAATAATCAGGATGACAAAAAGTTGAGGCTTACCAACTGTGACTCCTGTGGGAGAAGAGAATATCATTTCGTGCTAGAGTGGTCAGTGATACCTTAATAAGGAGGCAAAGTTTGACATGGGTCTTGAAGGATGCCTAAGAGCTTTCTAGGCAGAGAGATGCTACAAGAACAGTCTTGTGGCTGAAGGAATCAGCTACCTATCGGGAATGTAGACCATTGTTACAGGCACGTTGGGGTGTGACCGTAACAATGAATCTGAGTCACAAACTTGAAAAAAGTAGACTGGGGACAGATCACAGAGGCCTGAAACCATGTAAGGAGTTTTAGAGATTATTTTTGGAGGAAGAACAGTTGAAGCATTTGAAACAAAGGAATGACCCAATCAAGGTATAATTTTAGGAAGATTAGTCTAACATTGTCATGTAAGCTATATTTTTTACTCGAAAGAAGAGAGAGGCAGAGATTTGTCAGAGAGCTGTTTTCAGGGTCTCCAAGTAAGGTGGAAAATCTGAACTAGAGTAATGATGGCGTGGGGATGAGAAATAAACATGATTCCAGAGATATTTCTAAAAGGATTCACAGAACTAGGACTTCTGAGACAGGAGCCAGAAGCAACCAAGATAGGACATGTCAGTGAAAGGCAAATGTGTAACCAAATGCATCAGTTTTTAGAATCAACATATATATCTGTAAATTGTAGTCTGTCTGTCCAGCTGGTTGGGATTTCATACGCAGGACCAGGAGGAAGAACTTGGATCAGGCCAGAATGTGGATTTTTAGAGATCAGAGAAATAATAGCTTAATTTTTTGTATTTCAAATTGCCTTTATCTTTTCAAGGTGCTGACAGCTTATTGGATATAAGTTCTGAAGCTGACCAACAAGATCTTCTTGTCCTATTGCAAGCAAAAGTTGCTTCCCTTACCTTACACAATAAGGAATTACAAGATAAATTACAGGTAGGTAAATAGGTCGCTACCATGACAATTCTATAGAATCGCTCTATTGTTTTTTCAGGAGTATCAGACACATTATATTTTAAATATCTATATTAGTTTCTTCTATTTAAATGCAGCTATCTTTAAGCATATTATAGTTTCAAAACATTTGTTTCTTGAGAGTGTTATTAATGCTATTTCTGTAAATTGCTAAATTGGTGCATCATATAATTAACATAAATTATATATGTATATGACAATTAAATATTCTTATAAAAATGTATACATATAAATATATAAGCTCTTTATGTAAATAAAATGTATATATAAATATATTACATAGAGTGATATCTAATAAGATAATTATATGTATATATGATTTTGTATTTTAATTTTATATACATTAAAATTTTTTATTTTAAATTACATATGTATATGTGTAAAACATCAGTCATTAATTTAGTAAAGCTGATCATTTACCAGATTTAAGAACTTGAGAAGAATTAGCTATACTGGCTTGGCTCCCATAGCACAGTGGTTATGGTGCCAGCCACATACACCAAGGGTGGCGGGTTCAAACCCGACCTAGGCCAGCTGAACAACGACAATTGCAACAAAAAATAGCCGGGCATTGTCATTGGCACCGATAGTCTCAGTTGCTTGGGAGGATGAGGCACGAGAATCGCTTAAGCCCAAGAGTTTGAGGTAGCTGTGAGCTGTGACACCACGGTACTCTACCAAGGGCGACATAGTGAGACTCTGTCAAAAAAAAAAAAAAAAAAGAATTATCTGTAGTATCCTCATTGCTCCTCTTGGTTAAGCAGGATGGTATAAGAAACAAAGGAAAAAATTAAATCCAAGGTTTTGCAGACAAAACAATTCCAGTGTTTTGAGAGTGACACAAATCATCTGTCTTAACAGAGTACACAGTACCCTGTGTGTCACTAGTCCTACTATCACATCCCAGGCCATATATATGTGTGTGTGTGTGTGTGTGTGTGTGTGTGTATAATTATTATTATTTTTGTTGTTGTTGTTTGTTTGTTTGTTTTGTGTCAGGAGAGTACACAGTCAAAATGATCACCTGCTCTCCCATACTTGACTTTTGGATTTGTTGCTCTTATCCAGTTGCCTGTTGACTTACCTGATCTTTGGTGCCATTTAATTCTTGGTTTTTGTCCTAGGCTAAATCACCTAAGGAGGCAGAAGCAGACCTAAGCTTTGACTCTTACCATTCCACCCAAACTGACTTGGCCCCATCCCTGGGCAAACCTGGTGAGACCTCTCCCCCAGATGCCAAATCATCTCCGTCTGTCTTAACACATTCCTTAGGTAAATCCACTGTTGACAGTGATGTCAGAATTCAGCAACTACAAGAGATTTTGCAAGATTTTCAGAAGAGACTGGAGAGCTCTGAAACAGAAAGAAAACAGTTACAGGCTGAACTCCAGTCCCGAAGGACAGAACTGGTATGCTTAAACAACACGGAGATGTCAGAGAATGGCTCTGATCTCAGCCAGAAACTTAAGGAAACTCAGAGCAAGTACGAGGAGGCCATGAAAGAAGTCCTCAGTGTGCAGAAGCAGATGAAACTGGGTCTTGTCGCCCCTGAGAGTGTGGAGAGTTATTCACATCTCTGCGAGCTGAGGGTCTCTGAGGAGGAGATAGATGCCCTAAGGCAGGATCTGCAGAAGGCATTAGAAGAGAGTGAAAGAAATAAAGAGAAAGTGAGAGAGTTAGAGGGAAAACTTGCAGAGAGGGAGAAAGGTACAGTGGCTAAGCCGCCTGCAGAAGAATATGAGGAAATGAAAAGTTCATATTGCTCTGTTATTGAGAACATGAATAAAGAGAAAGCATTTTTGTTTGAGAAATACCAAGAGGCCCAAGAAGAAATCATGAAATTAAAAGACACGCTAAAAAGTCAGGTGACACAGGAAGCCAGTGACGAAGCTGGGGACATGAAAGAGGCCATGAATAGGATGATAGATGAACTCAATAAACAGGTGAGCGAGCTGTCACAGCTGTACAAAGAAGCCCAGGCTGAGCTGGAGGATTATAGGAAGAGGAAATCTTTAGAGGACGTAACGGCCGAATACATCCATAAGGCAGAGCATGAGAAATTGATGCAGGTGACAAACATGTCCAGGGCTAAAGCGGAAGATGCACTGTCCGAAATGAAGTCTCAGTATTCTAGAGTGTTGAATGAGTTGACCCAGCTCAAACAGCTGGTGGATGCGCAGAAAGAGAACTCTGTCTCCATCACAGAACATTTGCAAGTGATAACCACGCTGCGCACTGCTGCAAAAGACATGGAAGAAAAAATAAGCAGTCTGAAAGAGCACCTTGCAAACAAAGAAGTGGAAGTGGCTAAGCTAGAGAAACAGCTCCTAGAGGAGAAAGCCGCGATGACGGATGCAATGGTGCCCAGGTCTTCCTATGAAAAGCTCCAATCGTCCTTAGAGAGCGAAGTGAGTGTCCTGGCTTCAAAATTAAAGGATTCAGTAAAAGAGAAAGAAAAGGTCTATTCAGAGGTTGCCCAGATTAGAAGTGAGGTCTCTCAAGTAAAAAGAGAAAAGGAACATATTCAGACTCTCTTGAAATCCAAAGAACAAGAAGTAAATGACCTTCTGCAGAAATTCCAACAGGCTCAGGAAGAACTTGCAGAAATGAAAAGATATTCTGAGAGCTCTTCTAAATTGGAGGAGGATAAAGATAAAAAGGTTGGTGCAATTCTATTGCTGTTGGCTTTCTACCAATAAGTCCTTGGCCCTTTGTTCTGTATTAAACATTTGTTGTATTTGTTGGCACTAAGCTGTCGTGAGTGCTCAGAGACTCTGCATGTGACTGCACCTGTCTCCACACACCACATTAAGAATAATTTATTGGATATTTATATTGAAACAAAATTTATCTTCTGCCACTTTTCCTTATATTAACACATTTTCACATATGTGATACATATTTGTCCTTTAAAAACAGTTTCAGAAGATCTGCTACCAGTGTCAGGGATTGGCAGTGAAACTGCAAACTCAAAAGTGTACATGATCCATTTTGAACTTCAACTCCACTTCCTGAATCCAGAACAGATTCCTTCATCATATGGAAACTCAGACATTTCTAGGTGTAATCCTGCTTCCCTCAGCTCCATAAGTTTCCCCACCTCCCCCAAGTCAGTATAAAATCTGACCCACATTCTCAAAGGTGGGGATGGTTGGGGAATGTAGGGGCAGGTAGGAGATGGGACTGGATGTGGCCAGAGAAGGACGGAAGTAAAGGGAAGTTCAGGATGGTCCCTTGTATCAGGGGTTCTGAATGGCATTCATCAGTGGGCTAGTTACCTTTTTTCTTTTGTGGTGAGTGTTTCAAAAGGAGTTTCAAAAGCCTACAGGGAGTGGGGAGTTAGGAATCAGTGGGGTGAGGTGGACGTTCAGTTCACTTTCAAGCAACATGTTCAAAGATACCCGGCTTCCTAAGACATACTCCTGATTGCCCATGTCAGCAATATTGAAAACACATAGCTGTCTCGAAATAAAAGAAGTCTGAAGTCCTATTCTGATTTATTGTTTTCCAACATACTCTTTTTAAGCATGAAAGAAGGAACTCAACATTCCAGCTTTAGTTACCCTCATGCACCAAAACACCATGTGTAATCCAGGGGTCTTTATCAGAACATAATGTGGGGGCCTTACTGTTTTACCTTATTTTGTTATTTCTTATGAATTTTCTTTTAAAATGGAAGGATTGTTTCAACGTCTCCTGTCTCAGAGGCCAAAAGAGATGACTGTGTTCAAGGCTCAGTTATCTAAACTTTTGCTTCTGCAGACACGTTACTGCCTATTGATACGGTTTTCTTTGTCACTAGATAAATGAGATGTCAAAGGAAGTCACCAAATTGAAGGAGGCACTGAACAGCCTGTCGCAGCTCTCCTACTCAACAAGCTCATCCAAAAGACAGAGTCAGCAGTTGGATGCACTGCAGCAGCAGGTCAAGCAGCTCCAGACCCAGCTGGCTGTGAGTGGATGTTTCCGCTGCCTGGTTTGGGTAGAGGGTGAGGGTGATCATACACAGTTCACCTGTCAGGGCAAGCTCCCATGAGCAGAAAGATTCCTAGCCCAAAGGAATGTTGTGCTTCAGTGCAGGCAAAGAGGGAACCAAGGGTGGAATTCTTCATCACTGTGCCCCATGAAGGAAATCAGTAGGGCTGCTGGTTCACTCATCCATCGACTTTTCACCTCTCTGTTCTGTCTGCAACAGTTGTGCCCCATCTCTGGCAGTGGCAGGAACTTTTTCTTATTAGGGGCTAGAGTCTCTGGTAGCTGTGTTGCTCCATGTTTGAAGCTGCTTCCGGGAAAACCCTTTCATATCTGAATCAGTTCCCTGGAGTTGTTATAACCAGTCACCACATACCTGATAGAAAACAACATAAATTTTATTATTTCATAGTTCTGGAGATCAGAAGTCCAAAATCAGGTTCGCCAGACTTGTATCAAGGTGTTGGCAGAGCTGGTTCCCTCTCAAGGCTGTAGGGGAGAATCCATTTCCTTGCTTTTTCCAGCTTCTAGAAGCTGCCTGCATTCCTTGGCTTATAGCCCCCTCTTCCATCTTCAGAACACATCACTTCTGTGATGCCTGTCTGCTGCCTGTCTTCTCACTTCTCTCTTTCTGCCTTTGACTTTCTTGCCTCCCTCTTATAAGGACCTTTTATAATGATTAAAAGTCCACCTATACTATGTGATTATATACTGTGTTTCCCCGAAAATAAGATACTGTCTTATATTTATTTTTTCTTAAAAAGACACACTAGGGCTTATTTTCAGGGAAAATAAGTCTTCCTTATTTGTCTTCCTCTCCACGCCAAAATGTATGGTGTCATGCAGATACACTGCATAGCCACACCCATCACTAGGTCTTATTATTAGGGTAGGGCTTATATTTAACAAATGCATAGAAATCCTGCTAGGGCTTATTTTTTGGGTAGTTCTTATTTTTGGGGAAACACGGTAATCTCTCCATCTCAAAATCCTTAACCTTAATCTTAAATCCTTAATCTCTCCATCTCAAAATCCTTAATCCAAGATCCCTTTTGTCATATAAACTAACATTCACAGCTTCTGGGATTAGGATGTGAACATCTTTGAAGGGCCATTATTTGGCCCACCACAAAATCTGTTAAGTTGTCAAGGGTGTATTCTCCATAAGAAGTTAAGGGATAGTCTGTCCTGGACTGTTGGTAGCTTCAGTGTACAAATAGAATATGGATTTGATGATTTCTTCAGCATAGATTTAACACGAGTGAATTCAGGTTTCTACAGTCCTTACTGTGGTTAGCCACAAAGTACAATACTAGCTTTTTGGAGTTAACAGTTCTAGCAGTGGTGGAAAAAATCAAGGGAAAAATGATCCTCTTTACTGTGTTCTGCAGGCCACTCTCCTAATAAAATGGTTATTAAAGACTTGTAGATAAAGTGCTAATAGTTTATATAGTAAATTATTCAGCATATGTTTGTTGAGTTTTTATTATGTATCGGTATTGTACATGGTGCTGATGATATAAAAGATAGAGACCCTGCCTTCATGGAATTTATACTCAATATATGTTAATATGGTGATAATCCATTCATAAAGAGGTGCCCAACACTCTGTGGGCATGCAGAGGAAATCTGTCTACCCAATCTGTTGAGTCATGAAAAGCTTCCCATAGGAGGTGATGCTTGTGCTGGGTCTCAAAGGGATAGGTGACAACTTCCTTACTCAGCAAGGCTGAGATGTGGCACTAGCTAGCTCGTGGTAACCTACTCCAGTGGACTGGGGGCAGGTAGAATCTGGACTGCACTAGATTGGCTGCTAGAGGAATAAGTAGACAGGTGTCTGGTGAGGCTAAAGAATTACAGCACAGGGCAGAGGGAAGCCTAGGAGATAGTTGTGAGAGGGTGGGATGCTTTTATTGACAATATCAGAGATGGTAATGACAGAGAATATATTTTTAAATTAAATTAATGCATACTTGGTCATTATCAAAAAGTTGAAAAATACAGAAAACTCTGAAAAGTTCCTACAAATTAAAATTGCCCATAATTCAACAACTCTGAGATAATCACTTCTGGCATTTGATATATTTCCTTGCTGGTATTTACTTTGAGTACATGTGTCTGCCTCTGCATAAGTACCTGTACATATATTTCTAAAACAAATTCAGGATGGTAAGACTCCTTTTTACTTGTTTTCTCCTGGAGTTGACATACTAAGATGAAGTAGGTAGATTTGCTTTCTCTAAGAATATTGACAAGTACTCAGAAATACACAAGCCATGGAGCCCACAGTAATTTTAGAAGCTTCATATGCTTGCATACAGTGGAGGGAATTACTCGGGTAGCATTTGACTGCAGCTTTCCCATCGTTTTTTGTTTTTGTTCTTTAAAGATCTCCTAAGCTCATTAATAATGTCAAATTTTCTCTTTGTAGGAATGTAAGAAACAACACCAGGAGGTCATATCGGTTTACAGAATGCATCTTCTATATGCTGTGCAGGTATGATAATGCACCTTGATGTTTCTGGACATCCTAAATAGGGCAGCAGATGTTGCCCATACGCCTGTCATTAAACTAGTGTAACAAACAAAAATTAGAGAATACTTTTACTGGAAAGCCTGACAGTGGCTTTTGTTTTGCATTGGATTTTGTGTCCAGAGCAACGTCACCATTCATTGAGAAATGAAGGGTAATATGGGTGCTATCCACTATTGGGAGGACCCAGCCTTTCCTTTCCAGGCATGCCAGTGTTCTCAGGGCCATCAGCACCGCCTTATGTCAGCAATTGCTGGTATTCTGGTTAGCTGGGCTCCCATTTGCAACCGAGACCCCAGATATCCTTGGCTGAGTGTTCTGGTAGATGCTGCCTTGTCATCCTCCAGATGAATAGGGATACGGCCCTCTCTTGGAGTCAGTTCCTCATAGAAATGTGGGACTTGATAAGGTTGACAGTCTTCTAAAAATGGGGAATCAGCCAAGGGCTTCCTGCCAGCCAGCCATCTTGTTCCTCCGAGGAGAAAGTGCCATGACTTAATTTAGCTTCTTACAAGTATGTTGTGTTTGAATTCCATAGGGCCAGATGGATGAAGATGTCCAGAAAGTACTGAAGCAAATCCTTACCATGTGTAAAAACCAGTCTCAGAAGAAGTAAAGTGGATTCCTTGGCAGGACACTGCCCCCTTGTTGTCCATCTTTGTGATCCAGAGTTGTTGGCAACCACTGCCATCATTCTCACTTGTGGTATGCACTGTGACCTAGCATGGCCTCTTCCCTTTCCAAAGGTTTCTGAGTACTGCTCCCAGGAGAAGACAGCCCTCCTAGGAACTGCCTGGATTTCAAACCAGCAGAGGTGAAATTCTCTGTCATCCCTTCAGTTTCCAGGGCTGGGATGTGGCACCCTCCTCGGTAGCTGACCACCTGAGTGGTTCCATTACCACTGAACGACACACAGAGGTTCAATACTGCTTCTGTTCCTGTACTGGGGCTGTGCTCATCAGCACAGGAGAGCTCTTTTGAGCTTTGGCTTCCAATCTCAAAAACATAATTTGCTTTTTAACCAAATTAGTGTGGCATTAGTTACGAAGCGCATGCTTAAGACCCTTTATCATGTTATCCTGTGGATTTAAAATCTCTAATTCTGTCTCATCCCCTCATCTACCTTACATATCTCATTACCCTGCTTATCAATCTCATAGTTTGATGAGCACTCTTAACTGAAGTTTAAGGCAAATTGTCCTTAGTAAGTTGTTTTTTTTTAAGTAAATTGAAATTGTCTATGCAAACTTGCCTCCTGCTTGAAGCTCAGGAAACCCAGACGTTTTGTGTTTCAACAAGGGACAGTGAACTGCATGTTTACAGCCAAAAGAAATGCCTCATAGTTCCTAACCTCAATTTTTTTAAAAGTGTTTTTCCTCTGTAATATTTTTATTGGCTCTTGAAGATGTTTTCATATCTAAACCCCTAAATAAGTAAAATTACATTAGATAATATTAACAAAATATTTTTTAGGTAATCATGCTTAGGACTTTTTAAAAATATAACTTTCTCCTCAAAGTTTTCCACAATAGCTAAAGGTAGTTATGTATTCCAGACTTGAGCTGCCACCAGTATCCCTAGGACTTTCTGCCATTGTGTCCTCAAAACTGTAGCGCATTTCTGAATATACTAAATACTTTTTTATGCGTTGAATATTTTGAACGTCCTGGCTATATCAGCACCCATAAACTATCTCTGAAAGGACTGTTAGTACCAGTTTTCCAGCTTTGAAACTAAAAACCCTGATATAACATGGCGTATAAGTCTTGGGGGGAAATATTTCTGTTCACTTTACTTTCAGGTTAAAAATGTCCCTAGCTTGCTTGCAGCCTCCTGTATACCATTGATTTTGTGGAGGGAGATAAACAGAATACAGAAAGCTCCAAAATATTTAACTAGAAGTGGAGGGCCCCTTATGACAGGGCCACACACTGCAGTGCTGCCCAGTCTTAGAGGGTACTCGGCTCTGCTGGATGATGTGTTCATCTGTATTGGATGAGGACCAACGACAGCAAAAATGGTTTTAAAGCTTGGTGTTACTTTTCTTAAGTTGTTTAATTGCAATTAAGCAATTTCAAAAATGCTCCAAAGAAATGTGAAAGGACTTTTTTGTCACATTACAAATGCAAAACAACCCGCCCCCTGGCCCCCCCCGCACAGAAATGCTGCAGAGTATAAAACTTGAGACATTTTGTAGGATGCCTGACAAAGTGTAGCCTTTTATCTTGTTTCAGGATGTGTATTTATTACAAGTACTCTGGTTAAATATTGAAAAGGTATATGCTGTAGTTTAGTATTTTGTCTTTGTAATTTTAAGAAGTTATTGCAGAAAAATAAACGTTTCATTTTGGATCTCTGGTGTTGATCTTGGGGTATTCATAAACATCCCTGTATGGCTTCTGAAGATCATTTCACTGTGATGGTTTTTAAGCCTGCGTTATGCTCAACCTGTGCAGATTGCCCACACTGTCTTCTACAAAGTCTCATTATCATTTTGTTTCTTAGCCCTTGTGTTCAGCCTGAACTCTGCCCCAAGTATCAGCCATTTGGGAGCAGCTGCATCATAGTCCTTTAATTCAAAATTGCTTTTCATTTGATCTGTAGTCTTTTTATCTGTTTGGAAGCATTCACTGGATTTTTTTTTTCTCTTCCTTTCTTTTCTTTTTTTAAAAATATAGTATAAACACATGGTTCAAAAAGAATTCAAATATATTCTCCTATCCCATTATAAGGAAAATTCATTCCTAATAAAACTCTTTATTGGGTGAATTCTTGGTATTGAATTAAAATGCCAAACGATACTGAAATAGGTACAATTACTTTAGTAATTAGATTATTTATCACAACACAACAAGGCTCACAACATGATTTTACCATCTCTGCTTCAGTTCTTGTTCCTTCCTATTATATACTGAAACTTTTGATTTCAAACAAACCATGTGTGTGATACTCAAAATTTACTTAAATGAACCTTTAATGCCTCCTATCCTACTCCCCCCAAAAAAACAAACAAAAAAAATCAATGAAAATAATGGCAAATGGTATATATGAGGTAATTACTGTTTTAAATTATCAAGGGCCTGTACCATGAAAGGAGAATGTATTTCAACTGGGGCCAACCAAACAACCCAGAAGATGACTTAACTGGGAGCACTTATATGGGAAGGAAACCTGGATAGACCCAAATCCATCATCTTAGATGGAAAGAAGTGCTTCATAAGCCACCGTTGGAGTATGAAAAGAAACCCTCATACTTCTCAGTGATTAGATAATCAGACTATAAGTATAGAACAAATGAAATAAAAAATAAATCTTACTCCCAATCCTTAGTTCAACTCCCCAGAAGTAACAGCCATTAAGTTTCTTGGGTGACCTGAGACATCCTATGTCTATATATACATGTAGGTATGTATTTTAGTTTCCTCTTTAAATATCTTGGAGACTGTTCTCCATCAACATACCTCATTCTTTTTAATTGCTGAATAATAGTTCATAGAAAGATTTTTCTATATTTTACTTCAGTAGTTCCTCATGGATGGACATTTAATGTGCTTTGAATATTTGGCAGCTACAGAAATGATGCAATGACTATCCTACCTATAAATTGCTTTACACACCTATGTGAGGAGTCTTTGGATAATTTTCAAATTGCACATTTTCACATTAGCTTCTATCATGATCCAGTCAGAGAAAAAAAGAGTACAGTATTGTACATAACATCACATTGAGTGAGAAAGCATGGACTATGTGTTGGTTGACTAAGAGTCATCCATTTGTTTTCCTTACATAAACTTTGTTAAAACAGATTCCAAAGCCTTTATTAATTAAACCCACACATCTTAAGATAAACCCATGATATACTGGTTGGGGAAAATGATCCCAGCATATGCTGAAGCCCAGCCTTATGCAACGTGGTATAATTGGAATGTTGGATGCTGACAGCAGCAGAAACACTATCCAGCAAAGATGGAGGTGGTTTTTTTTTTTTTTTTGAGCAAAGTTAAAAGGGAAATGATTACAAGACAAAGAATGAACTGGGAAAGGCAACAGGCTAGAGAACTAGTGCATTCACAAGAGTAGCCATTTAAGTTCACCAGCTCTGTGGACCTGTCAAGCATTATGAAGGCATGTGTGGCATATTTGAGAAATGAACAAGAGCTTGATTCTGATTGTGACTATAGTGGCCCTCAGGAAATGGTTGAGGGAACACTGAGTTAAACAGATGCAAAGTTTCCTTGAGAGTAAAGTGTCAAAAGGTGCAGGTGAGTAGGAGAGAAGAGTTATTCTTGCACCTTTATTACAAACCAGGTCCTCAAATGTTAAGACCCAGCATATTCAAGAACCACAACTGGGTGTACCAGATTATAAAATGGAGCATGTGCAGAGGAGAGAAAAAAGCAGAACTTGGTCAATGATGTAAGCTGCTAACAGAAGAGATGGGTAGTAAGCACTCCCTGTGAGTCACCTCTGTGTTTTTAAAACCCCATGTATTTAAATCGTGTTAAACACACAGATAGAGTAAGTCTTCCCAAAGGCCTCCAGGTCCTAATCTCAAGAACCTGTGACTCTAACTTGTGAATAATTTTGTTACATGGGAATCTAACCTGTGAATAAATTAACATGACAAGAAAATTAAGGAATTAAGGTTGCAGATAAAATTAAGGTTGCTAACCGACCTCAAAGTAAGATTATTTTGGATTGTCTAGGTGGGCCCAATATAACAAGAGGGGTCCTTTGAAGATAAAGAGCCACCCTTACAGACATCATTTCTTTAACCCAGTGACATTCATTTCAGGCTAATGACCTCCAGAATTATGTAAGTTTGTAGTGACGTGTTAGAACAAAAGGAAATTGATACAGGGAGGCCAGAATCTCTAATGGAGTCCCTAAAGGTGATTTATCATTTACTAAATGCTATTGAACATTTATGGTGTCCCAGGCACTGTGCTGAATGCCAAGGCCACAGTGGCTGCTTCTGCTCACAAAGAACTCATAGCTGATTACAAGGGGACTGCCACCTTGCAGGTAGTCAGTATGAGATGGGTGGAGGCCTAAAAGGCCTTTCATGACCTGATGTCCTGTCCCTTCACCCAGTCTCTTCTCTCTCTCCTCATTCTTATACTTGTGCTTTTCTTTGACCCCTGTTAAGCTGGCTCCTGCCTCAGGGCCTTTGCACTCGCTGTTAACATCTTAGGATATTCTCCTAGATATTTGCATGATTTGCTCCCTCATTTCCTTGAGGTCTCTGCTCAATACCAGCTGGTGAGAGAAGCCCTTCTTAACTATACTATGTAAGATGGCACATGCCTCCCTACACAACCACACCGCTTTCTACATCCCTTATCTGGTTTTATTTTTGTTTATATCATTTATCACTTCCTTGTAAGGTGGCTCACCTGGAGTCCTGAAATCCAGCCCACCCTTTGTTCCCAAAGCTGTACTCTTTTTTTGCTTTTTTTTTTCAGCCAGGGCTGGGTTTTGAACCTGCCACCTCCAGCATATGGGGCCAGCGCCCTCCTCCTTTGAGCCACAGGTGCTGCCCCCCAAAGCTGTACTCTTTAAAGCACCAACCTGAGTCTAGCCTCGTGGGACTCAGAGGCTTTTTCTGAATTTACACCAGGTTGCTGCCTACTCCCTAAGGTGTGTTTTTCTAACTTGCAGAGACACCACATTGTTTATTACAAGTTCTATGTTTTTCTTTACCTAGGAGAATATAAATTCCAGGAGAGCAAAATCTTTGTTATCTTTTGCTTCCCTAAAGCCTAGAACATTATCCAACATACAGAAGGTTATCAATAGATATTTTTATCTGTGAGGATGAACGAGATGTGTAGAGAATGAGAAATTTGTGAATAAACAACTTGTTATTACAGCATGGTGGGAGTCATGAGGAGATTGTAGACAGGATACTATCAGAGCTCAGAGGTAGGCCATCTAGACCTGTCTTGAGAATCCATACAATGTGTTACAGGAGAAAGTTGACTTGGATTTCCTCCTTCTTAAATTTCACAGTTCCTGGGGTTGGAATAGTTTGGAAGATAATCACATTTGATTTGGAGTTTTAAGAGTCTAGAGGTAACCTCTACCCGTGCTTCCTCTATGCAATTTCTGCAAGAGCAGTATTTACCTCTTCTCTCCCTCAGGATCAGGGAAGGGAAATGTGAATGAACGTTGTAAAAGCACTATCTGCCCAGATTACTGGTATTCCATTCCGGTGTTAATGAACAAACCTAAACACATATGTAATACAACCAAAGTTTGCATTTGGGAGAGAGGGTTAAGATGGCAATGGAAGAAAAAATATCACAGACTCTTGCAACTTTTAGTCTTCAAAGGTCTTTTACCTTACTTTTGGTCACAGCTAATTAAATGGAGGCAGACTCAAGAGTGTTGGCTTTGAGAATGGGAAGTCAATGTCTGTTCTGCTACTGTACCTCCCTTCATAATGGCCAGCAAAAGCAAATGTTTAGAAAAGAGAAGTTACCTATAATTTTTAGAAACAACCTGCTAACCATTTCCTAGAATGACAGAACACTAAAACTTTTCAATTTAATGAAGTCCAATTTAAGAAGCAAGGGAAATGGCTCGGCGCCTGTGGCTCAAGCGGCTAAGGCGCCAGCCACATACACCTAAGGTGGCGGGTTCGAATCCCCAGCCCGGGCCCGCCAAACAACAATGATGGCTGCAACCAAAAAATGGCCAGGCGTTGTGGCGGGCGCCTGTAGTCCCAGCTACTTGGGAGGCTGAGGCAGGAGACTCGCTTGAGCCCAGGAGTTGGAGGTTGCTGTGAGCTGTGATGCCATGGCACTCTACCCAGGGGGATAGCTTGAGGCTCTGTCTCAAAAAAAAAAAAAAAAAAAAAAAAAGAAGCAAGGGAAATAAGAGTTGTAGAATAGGTTACAGGTTCTTTTTTAAAAAATTCCCTACAGTAAAATACTGTTCATAGAACCACAAAAATCCAGTTTACCCTTACAGAACCCTGGAACGGAAAGGAACTTTACAAAGTGAGTAGTACAAATAATTTCACTGTATAGGTGAGAAAATTAAGACCCATTGATTGTTTCTTGTCCCAAGTCACACAGTCAAGACCTGAACCTTGACTTCTTGACACCAAGTTCACTGTTTTCATCATTATTCCATCCTGAGGGTTCTCTTAGGAAGAAGGGAATATAAAAGGGTGGGATCTTTCCAAATTTTGACTCAAGAGCTTCAAGAGACAGATTTAAACTTTAACAGATCATCCATCTTTTACTTAACAGATATTTAAAGAAACTCATTTAAGTAACTCTTTCAACCTAACTCTAGGCTTTCTTGGCAGTCTTGAATGAATGGCAATTGAACTTCCACCCCAGAGCTGGAAAAGAACAAACACCAAATGTAAACACCATCTTTCAAGTTCTCAGTAAATATTTTTCTTCTCTCCCCAGCTAGCTTTGCAGGGAGGGCTGAAAATAAGAGGGACAATTCACTCCAACTTGACTTGCCATATTCTTTAAACATAGGGTTGATGACTTAACCCTTGTTTCTCACTGCCTTAGATCTTGTTTTTAATTTGGTATACTGTTGCCAGAGTCTATTTCATCAGTCTGAGGAGATCTTTTTCAACATTACCTCTGGTCAATTGTGTCTCAATCACAAAAGGAACAGGGAAGAGGTGTGTCCAACTTCCCATCACGGCCGGAAACTCAGGTTTTAAGGTTTCTCCGGAGTCCCCTTGGTTTAAGAAGGGAAGGTTTGTTCAGTTGGTTGGAGAATGTAGGATTTTATTTTCAGCTCTTACCACTGTATTTCCAGACAATGAAGAAGTATTAAGAATACGTATATGGCTGCGTGATTTCGTCCCTCGAAAATACTCTCTGAACTGCAAACTATTAGCAGATTCTTACCCTACTCACTTCCTGCAAGCCGTTTTCCTAACCGTGCCTAAGCTCCAGTCTTACCGGGAGAGGTAACACAGACTGTGCCGGCACCGTCAACAGCTACATCTGAGCCTTTCCTCCGGGGTCCAGAAAGCAGGACTCCGGAGAAGCCGCGAGGGTGCTTTCCGGGTGCGGCCCGGCGGCCTGGGCTGGAGCTGAACCCGGCCCGCAGTCGTGGGGGCTCTAAACAGACAGGGTCGCGGAGCCCGGCGCGCTCTTTCTTCCTTCCGTGGGATGTAGCTTCTCTTCCTCCGTCTTCATCTCCGAGAAGTCAGGTCCTCGAAGATACAACATTAGCGCACAAGTCAGGGCAGCAGAACCTAGTTTGGCCGCCTGGGACAGGAAGGCGGAGGGCGAGCTGAGAGCGGCGCCGGGAGCCCCAGTCCCGAGGGCCGGACCGGAAGTGTCTCGCGTTGCCATGGCTACAGCCTCTCACAGACGGCCCGCGGCGTTCCGTGTCCATGGCAACCGCGCAGTCTCCCGCGCGGGAAGTTGGGCGCCAGGACTCGAAGGGCAGACCTAGCAGGCCGTCTAGCTTCGGCGAGGCGCCGCTGTGGTGCCCGGACCGAGGTTGCCCGGATCCAGGACGCTGACGCAGTGCGAGGAAGCCGCGCCGCCGCCTGACGGGAGCCGGGGAGCCGGGAAGCGAGTTCCCGCGCGTGGCTGTTCAGCTGTCGCCCGGTGGGGCGCCGGTGCTGGCCTCGCCGCAGCCGCCGCACGTGTAGCTGGACAGAGCCTGGACTGCAGGGAGGTAGCCGCTCGCCTTGTGGCGTCCGGGTTTCCTAAATTACCACCGAAAAACAGCAGAAAAGGAGGAAGCGCTTTGTACTTGAGAGAGGGGCCCAAGTTTGGTGTTCGGGGCTGTATGGAATCGCATAGGAACTGGGTTCAGGAGTTTGAGAGGTTAGAACTCCTCTGGCTCTGGCCGTAGGTTTGAAAGTAGTGTTAAGAAAATGAAACTAGTGAATCTTCTTTTCTGATATTCGGATAGCGGATGTTCTGGATCCTGGATCAGAGAAAGCTACACAGGGCTCGGTGGGAAATGAGTGACGTTCGTTCTGTAGGTGTAATGAGGAGAGACCTGGGGGTGTTAATTTATTACTGCAGTAAATAATAACTGCATTGGATCTGGATTTGATTTAAGCAACAGAGAGCCTTGAAAGTTGAATTTCACAAATACTGTAATTATAAATCACATTTTTCATCATGAGGTTCAAACATTTCCCCCATCAGCTAACAGTAGCAACCAAAACAGACATTAGTTTTAGTTTCTTTTCTAGAACCTCCTATTTAAATAGTGAAATGGCCCCAGGGATAAAGAGGAAAATTACCCAGTACAGTGGCCTTGCTTCATTTATTGCTGAGAGCTGGTTCTTTAAGTCCATCTTGCCTTCAGACCTGCAAAAACAATACCTGAATTGAGTAGGTGACCCTAGTTTTGAAGATCCAGGAGCTGTAAATGTGCTGGCTTTGAGAGGTAAGGCCAGGGAGAAGTAACATGGAATAGAAATTAGGGAAAAGAAATTTAATTAGGAAATGTCTTTAATTTTTGCTTTCTAGGAAGCTCCATGTGAGTGTGCGTAGTCCAATTATGGATTTTGGATGGGTTCTATATTTAAGTAGCTTCAGTTTAATATTGATTGCATCCAAGAGAGGGAAAATGGAATAAACTAAGCCTTCCTCCCAAAGCTGACCTTACGTGTGATTCTTGGTAGGAATAAGATGCAAGCCAGCCCCATCCGCATCCCAACTGTTAGCAATGACACGGACTGGGACTCCTGCTTCCATCTGTAAGTATCACAGAAGTTTGACATCACATTCATTGGCCTGAAACCTTGGAACATCCTCCTTAAGGCAAGCATGAGTGAGAGGCTTTGCAAACATCTTATGCAGAAGAGAAGGCTGAGCTTCTGTGTTGTGTTTTAAAAATGATTTTGCCATAATGTCTCATGGCAATTTAGATACGACAGAAGATAATGTTTTTCCTAACTTAAGAAAATTTGTAAATCACAAAAAGTAAAGATTATAACAAGACTGGTAAAGTCATAGAGAATTAACTGTAAGTTAATGAATAAATTAGGTTTTATGAAATAAAGCAGCTGAATGGGGTGGCTCATGTCTATAATCCTAGCACTTTGGGAGGCCCAGGCTGGAGGATCATTTGAAACCAGGAGTACAAGACCAGTCTGGGCAACATAGCAAGATCAGGTCTCTACAATTAAAAAAAAGACAATGAGTAAATAAACCTTCTTACAACCTACTGGCTTATATATAACACATCTCAGCTGATTTAATTTCCCCTACAATTCTATGAGGGGGGGAATTAAAGCTGAATATGAATCAAAGGGAGGGTAAGTCACACAGCTAGTAAGTGATATTCAAATTGGGTATCTGACTCCAGACTCTGTTCTTTAACCATTCTGTATACCAGAGTTTCTCAGCCTCTGTACTGCTGACATTTTGGATTGGCTAACTCTTTGCTGTGGTAGATTGTCCTAAGTATTGTAGCATGTTTGGGAGCGTTCCTCATGTACCCACCAGATGCCAATAGTGCTGCCCCAGTTGTGACAAGCAAAAATGTCTCCATTGCCAAGACAGAGACCTATTGCTTTATACTGGTCCCCTCAAATAGAAACAGTGTGAGCCACATATGTGATTTTATATTTTCTGGTAGCCATATTAAAAAGTGAAGTGAAGGCTCAGCATCTGTGGCTCAAGTGGCTAAGGCGCCAGCCACATACACCCAAGGTGGCAGGTTCAAATCCAGCCTGGGCCCGCCAAACAACAATGATGGCTGCAACCAAAAAATAGCCAGGTGTTGTGGCGGGCGCCTGTGGTCCCAGCTACTTGGGAGGCTGAGGCAGGAGACTCACTTGAGCCCAGGAGTTGGAGGTTGCTATGAGCTGAAATGCCATGGCACTCTACCCACAGGGACAGCTTGAGGCTCCTGTCTCAAAAAAAAAAAAAAATGTGAAGTGAAAATAGAAGGATTTAATTTTAAAACTGTTAGGCAGCTAGCTAGATATGAGTAGAGTGTGACAGATATGGTTAGGCTATTTTGGATTGGTCTGGGTCAGGCTAACCTGGGCTGGTATGGGAAGGAGTCTGATTAAGACCTTGCAGGTGATCTAGGCATCTACCCAGAGGAAAACAAATCATTTTGTCATAAGAACATTTGCACTAGTAGACTGTTTATCATAGCTCAGTTTACAATTACCAAAATGTGGAAATAATCTAAATGCCCACCAACCCAGGAATAGATTAACAAGCTTTGCTATATGTATGCCATTCAGCCATTAAAAAGATACATTTTTTGTATCAACCTGGATTGAGTTGAAATAACATTCTTTAAAGATGTGCATAGTGAAGCATCACAAAAATGGAGAAGCAAGAATCCAGTGTACTCAATTCTAATATGAAGGCAGTAGATGATTTAATACAAGGTGGGGGGTAGGGGAATGAGGAATGTAGGGAGAAGTTAAGGGGTATAGCACACCTCTTAGGGGTGGGACACAATTACAAGAGTGACTTTACCTAACGAACGCAATCAGTGTGACCTAATTCTTTGTACCCTCAATGAATCTCAAACAATAAAAAAAAAAATAATAAATTTTAAGAAAAGACCTTACAGGTGGGTTCTTCTCAAGACCTTGCAGGTGGGTTGTTATCAAGATCTTGCAGGTGGCTTGTTTTCAAGAATTTGCCAGTGGGTTGTTTTGAAAACAAAGTTAATTAAGACCTTGAGACACTTCGAAGAAGCAGCTGATACTCTTTAAGGTTGTGTATAATACCCCAAACTATGCTTTCCACAGAGCACACAGTCACTAGGAAAGGCCAGCTTGCTGTACAAGTTGTTAATTAACTTTTTTTTTTTGCTAAAACTTTACTTGCTTGTTTCAGTTATTTCAGTGACTACCTTGAGCCGCTGTGCTGCTATAACAATACTACATTTTACTTTTCTCAATATATCCAAAATATTATTATACAAAGTCACTAGTGAAATATCTTATTTTTTTATATTAGGTCTTTGAAATGCCCTGTGTATTTTACATTTATAGCACATCCCAATTCAGACTAGCCATATTTCCTGTGCTTGTTAGTCCCATGTGGCTAGTAGTTGCCATATTGGATAGCATTATTCTGTACTACTTCATAAAGTATCTTGAAGTTAAAGATTATATAACTATAATATGAAAATTGAAGTTCAAAAACTGTAGAGTTCATAGTAGAAGATCTTGGAAATAATCTAATAATTCATATTGAATATTACTAATCAGAATTCATATTTATGATGGCAGCTTATAAAATAAGTTATAAGTCTGGCGAGACAGACTCTTCATTCAACCTGACTATTCTTTTTGTCCTTTGAGGTAGCGGACTGGCCCATATTCTTTAGCCATTTTTCTCATCTTTTATTATGATGATGTTAAAAGCTAGTTCGGGTCTTTACATTCTCAATTTGTCAAGACCTCAATCTTTCTCACTCCTTCGAGGTTCTTGCTATTGATGCTTGCTGCCTTTGGTCTTAGCTTAATTTCATTGAAGGCTTGATTTAAAATATTTAGAGATTATAATTTTTAATATCCATAATTAGCAATTTCTTTGGTAACTCCCAATACATTTATCTTCTGTTGTAGGTCTGTGAAATATGCATCATAAGCAAAATCTTCTATTTTGAGGGACTAAATTTTCTTGTTAGTTTTCTTAAGTTATGAGCTCTTGCCACATATTTCCTCTCTTCTTAGTATTTTTCAAATATTGTAAAGATTTCTTTTTCATTCATTTGTTCATCATTTAACAAGCTGTTGATTGTTTTTACTGTGGGCCAGGTATCAGGGTTTTAGAAATAAATGAGGCTCAGCCTCTGCCTGGTAGAATTTATATGCCAGAAGGCAAAGACTCAGAAACAAAACAAAGAAACAAACTAAAACTTTTGATTTTATCCTGTTTTAGAAAGGCAAAGGTGAAATCCTGACCCCACACCCCTTTTATATCCATAGGTCACAGGAAACCAAGATCCCAGCACACCAGCAAACAGATGTGTTGTATTCTTCTTGTGGGTCTGGAGAGAGTGAAGAAGAAACTAAATCTGGGGAGGAGGAAGGGGAGGAGGACACAGACTGTAGGTTTCTTCCTAAAGACGAGTTAGCTCAATGTCAGAAGAAAAGTGCTCAACTGATTAAGGAAAAAATGGTAAAGCAAACAAAATACTCCCGAGGTTTTTGTTCCTGTTAAGAAATATATCCGTTATTTAGAGAAACTTTGCTTTAAATGCAGACTGAAGCACGTGAAGCACTAGAAGATGTTCTGTTTCTTTGTAAGTAAGAAGGGCCCACCTTCTGGTTCCATGCTTGGCTCTCTGGTCATTCTTTCTTGGAGTATTTGTACTCTAAGCTTTAAACTAAAATTTACATTTAGCTCCTCCTATAGATTTTTGATTACCTTTAATTTTGTAAAAATTAAAAAACAAATAATTTTCATGAAAGGTTTCAGGATATCTTTTGGGTAACAAGAGGGCCAGGATAGTGAGGTAGGGGCTCAGAACAAAGGGAGCCACACAGGTCTAGGCTTAGGCCTGGCAAGGATGTGGCTAAGATGCCTGTGGTTATAGTGGAATCATAAGCAAACCAAGGGGCCAGAAACAGGAGGTCGCAGAGGTCTAAGGGCAAGTGAAAGACTTAGGAACTAGGATCTCAGAGCAAGGGGGTAAGAAATAGTGTTCAAAATCCAGGAACATAAGATAGCAAGACATTGACTTTCCTTATTTGAATAAGCGCCAGTCTGCTTCCAAAACATGATTTATTAGATATATGAGACCAGATATTTAATTTTAAGGAATTGCTCATATTTTGGTGAAGTAATGATTTTGCAGTTAGGTTTCCATATTTGCTAGAGATACTCATGAAATGTTTATAGAGGAAACAATAGAATGTCTTTGATTTGCTTTAGCATAATAGAAGGCAAGGGCAGAAGAATGAAGAGTGATATGAAACAAGACAGACCGTGAGTGGATAACTGGTGCAGTACAGAGTCAATCTTCATGCTGGCTATTTTTATATATTGAAACTTTTCATGATAAAAGCTTTAAAAAAGTCACTTTGGCTATCATGAAGAAAGTAGGCTTGGGGGATCAGCATGGAAACAGTTTGAAAGAACTGCTGTAGCCAGGCCAGGAAAAGGTGAGGCTAGCTTACACCAGGTACTCCTAGCAGAAATGAGGGGAAGAGCTTGGTTTTAGATTTAGGAGTGAGGTAGACCCAACTGGACTTGAAGGATAGAACAAGGGATGCAGAGGAAAGAGAAGAGAAAAAAGAAGGCAGGTAAATTTAGTCTTACATTCCAGGATAATAAGTTTATGTGCTATGCTGGAGATTTTCTTTCTTTCTAAAAAGCATAATGACTTACTTGCTCTCTACAGAATACCCAAGCAAACAGGGAACTGATTCGATGTGTCATCCTTTCTCGGATTATTTTTGGAGAAAATCACTGGAAATGTGCACAGGCTTTGGTCAGCCTAGCTTATGGCTATCTGACGCTAAGAGGTACTTGGTTTCCCCAGCTGGGTCTGGGTGGGCAGCCTGTGAAGGCTGAGCTGAGCCCATACACCTTAGTGAGGGCAGGGATGACTGAGAAGGCCCTTTGCTGTCTGTAGTTCACACTTCATCAGGAGAAGGGAGAGTCCATGGATAAAGTAGACAGTGTGGCACAGATCTTAGTAATAATGATAACAAGGATGGTGATGCTAGATAGTGAGTATTCAGTGTGTGCCAAGCTAGTGTCATTTAGACCTCGTAATATCCCATGGTGAGAGATACAATTATTATTCTCAGTTTATGGATGAGGACATGGAAGCACTGTGGGCAAAGGTTCAGTATCAGTCAGTCTAGTCAAGAGGTCAACAGGGAAAGAATAGGAAAGGGCGTATACTCAGCACCAGGTGGGCAGAGCCAGTAATAATACTTGAAGTGCAGGAATAGAACTCAAGTTCTTCGAAGGTCTGGCTTAGGGAAGGCAGGGCCCTTATCCTAGAGAAATGGTACTTCTGGAAAGGACATAAGAATAAGATAAGAATTTATTTGTTAAAACTTAAACCCAAGTGAAAATTTCATGAGGGTAGAAATTTTGTAGTATGAGTTTAATAAATATTTACTGACAGATGGAGGCAAAAGGACATTTCTGGAACCAGGAACATGTCCAACCCAGACCCTCTGTTCCTTGACCGGCCATGTCCCCCTGTGTGCACTGCATATACTTCTATGAAGTCAGTGCCAGTTTGCTGCTTTTGTGGTGTCTTCATACAACCTGAACTTCGTCATCCTTTTGGATGGACATGGATCATACATTGTACTTCTGTCTCAGCTCTTTGAAAAGAGCTTCTGCAAATTTGGAAAGGTTCATTTGAAATGTGTTTTCTAGTTTTACTTTGCTCAGAACTTAAGAAAGGATTGAACTTCATTTTGGCTGCTGCCACTTTGGTGATGGCTGCAAAAGGGAAGAGGGAATGGGATTGCTTCTAGAGCTTTCCCAGGGAAGGCTTTTTGTCCTTTCCTTTGATGTTTGTTACTAACTTCATCGTGGATTGTAACTTGCTAAGGAGGTCACTCACTAAGGCGGTCAGGCACTTTTAGAACACTTGAGGGCTGTAGGTAGCAAAGGTAAGTTGTTTAAAATTATCCCTGTTGCCACTGACTTGCACCCATGCTGTGAAACTAGGCTTCAAGGGCCAAAGGCAGGGCGAGCTGTAGGCGGAGGCTGGGGTGTAAAGTGAGGATTTAGGGGTATAGTGGCCTACTTGGCAGGGATGAATGTGCTTAGCAGCCCCTAGGTTCCTGCAGAAAGAGGGCTGAAAATGAACACCAAACACTGTCATTTTCAGTAGAGAGGAAAGAAAATAGGATAGTATACTCTCTGTTGGCCTTTTTCTTTTCCTGACATGACCAGGCTGTCAACTGAGTGCTCCCAAGTCTGCCTCTGTTAACTCAAGTAGACTGATGTAAGTGACCAGGAACACCAGCTTTCAGTTAGAAAACAAGGGGGAAAAGGAATTTAACAGGAAAGAGGGCTGCCCCTCACTTTTGACGCAGTGCACATCTGAGGGGAAACTGGTGCTAAACCATTAGACCAGCTTGTAGGTCATGGTTTTTTGTGGAGGGGAATAGCTCCCTCACTGTGATCTGTAGAAAGTCAGCCCTGGACACAGGGTTTATATCTTAAAATCTTTAAAAAAGTGTGTGTGGGGGGGGAATTTCTTCCACAGTTCTGTCTAGTTGGGGGTTGGTATTCCTTTTGTCTTTTAGGACCCTCACTGCATTTAGCAATTGGATTCTTTTTACATCTATGTATGACCAATTAGTATCCCCAGCTTCATCATGGATTGAAAAAAAAAATCCCCAGATGGATGTAATTGCATTCATAAGCCTTTGTATTTATGTAATGCCTTTACCAGAAAGCTCAAATTACAGTACTCTACGGCATAACCTAGTCTGTTCCTGGACTTTCTCCATGTGTTTGGCAAAGGACAATTTCTTCAATTATTTTTGTCATTTGACATTTGGAGGCTAGAGAAGCTTTATGGGTTGAAAAGGTCACATGACATTAGCAGCAAAATTGGGAACAGGATACTTAGCTTCCACTTGAGTCTCTATCCATGATTTGCAAACTCAGCTTGACAGCCAGGAGGGCTACATGAGAACTACTGTGAAGCTAGTTAAAATTAGAGATTTCTGGACCCCACTCCTCTAGAGACTCAGTCAGAATGTAGACCCAGGAATCTACATTCTTTACAAGCATTTCCAATACTTTTTATTCACAGCCAGAGTTAGGAACAAATACTATAAACCAGAGGACAGCTGTACTGCCCACCTTACCCCTCCCAGGAATGTTTTGATTGAACTGTGCCTTGTTAATGTCTTTCTTCTTGTTACCCATCCTCCAACAGGCCTCCCAGTTCAGGCTAAGAAGCATGCTGAGTCTGCCAAGAGCACGCTGTTGACCTGGAAGTCCAACATGACCTCACAAAAGGATAAAAGAGAAATTCTGGAAGCTCTGGTCATGCTCTATTACACTCTGGGGGTGGCCTGGCTCCTGCAGAACCAATATCCTTCCTTTCCCAGCTGAGTTTAGTGACTGGGGCCACAGGCTCCACATGCCACATTGGTCATCTCATACAGGAGGGTGAGAGATGGAACCAGGACCCTGTTTGGTTCCAATGTCTGGGCCTGCTCCATAAGCCTCTCATTTCCATTTAGAATAGTATGAGGTTTGCTGCTATGCCTGTTCATATAATCTCTTGAGTTGAGCTATGGGAGGGATCTGACTAAATGACACATCCCCTGGCCACCTGAAGGTTTTGTGAGTCTTGCTCAAAAATCAGTATTAGTAAACAGGATGTCAGTGGTGGTGGTGCCAGTGGCAGTGTAGAAATGGAGAAATAGATGGTCATTTAAAGCAATTTGGCAAGCTAGCTAGCGTGTTTTAATCCCCTGGGGAGCTTTAAGAATTACTTCTGCTTGGCCCCCACCCCTTTGATATAAAAGCCCACCAGGTGATTGAAATGTAAAGCTAAAAACCACTAGTGTAACAACTCTGATCATTTTCCTTTTTGGAAATGCTATTGAGAATACTGCCTGTGAGGCGAGAAGCCAAGTAAAATAGACTAATGGAGTAGTTCTTCAGATCCCCAGAGGGGAACTATGGTATGTGCCTCTCCTCAAAAAGTTTGTAGTTTCTGACAGCCTTTTGGTACCATCTCCACTGGGAAGATGTCAAGGGCATTTCATATTCATGAATAGTTCTGAGCACTCTTTGAGTTCACTTGCCCTTAGTCTCTTCTCTTCATATCCCCCATTCTATTTTTTTGTTCCTAATACTCAACTTGCAAAATCTGCTATGTAGCCTCTGTTATACCCTTGGGGGGAGCTATTAAAAATGTGGGAAATAGAAGGATATTTGGGAATTAAGGGGATTTTCTTTTCTTCTATTACCTCTGGCCAAAAATCTGCTTTGCTTGCACTTTCTGAATGACCCAAAAATTCCCTTTCAGCATAATTAGTTCCTCTCTGTTACATTCATAGGAACCAGCTTGGGGAAAATGAATAACTATTGTCATGCAGTAGATACCTCTGAAGGAAATCCAGTGTAATTTACAGTTGCATTTCACTCCTGCAAATACTCACCTTCCACTCCAGCCCACCACCACTGGAAACCCAAGGTCCTACTCCTTTTCTAAAGAACTTTTCCTTCATGACAACAGGCATACTCGGAAATAGAGAACATGTAATAGTTAAGTACCTACTTTCAAATATTGCTTCATTTCTCGAAAGGGCCCTTTTGTTCTCTTATCAACGGCTGTCCCTGTGCAGTGGCAGTTGGCTTGTGTGCCTGGCATTCTCCTTGACTGATTCACTGGCAGAGAGTCCTATTTCAACCTACAGAAGGCAGCAAGAAACCTGAAGGAACTGAAAGAGTTCCATCAGGGAGGCATTTGTGGATTACAAGTCTCAGAGAAAGACCTAACAATTGCTTTGGGCAGGTGAGATCTGGGCTTGAAGAAGCTAAGGATTGTATGAATGTGGTTTGGAGTTACATGACTGTCCTGTAGTCTATGTAAGGGAGAAAAGTATTCAGAACAAAAAACCCAGAAACTCAAACAATAATTAAGGAGGCTATTAATTACTAAATGCACACACTGTACTCTCAGCACTTTGTGCTCTGCACCGTTTAATCCCCATGACATTGAGGTAGTTGGTATGGTCATTAGTCCATTAAGGAGAGATCAAGGAGACTGAGCTGAAGTTAAACAAATTGTCCAAGATGACACAGCTTGTAAGTGTTGGATCCATGATCTGAACTCAGTGACTCTTAGCTGTTCCTTAAGCTGCCTCTCATGCTTATTCTAGCATTTGTTTTTTCTGAACTGCCACCTACGTTTGTCATTACATGTGACATCTTAACAGATAAGGAACATGTAATGACAATTGGAGGCTATGAAAGCTATGCACAGTGTGTGCATTTTAAATTAAAGTTCTGTTGCATATGTAAACAAAGTTTGTGGATTGTTCAAGCCAGACTTAACTGTTTTGCTGTTGAGTTAGGGTTCCTCTGAGAAGCACAATATTTAGAAATGAGAGTGGGCCTACTTAAAAGGTTATCTGAAGTAAAAAAAAAAAAAAAATAGTGTTTCCTAGATTTTTCATATATCTTCACATCCTTAAAACCGATCTATTTCCAAAACTGTAAGCTTTGGCACAGTAGTACATATGACTGAATGGTAAGTAAGTTAAATACAAGCATTATGTCTGCCTTCTCTAAACAGCCATGAATCTGAAGTCAAATGGGAAATGACTGGGAGATGTTGGAATGTTCAGAGCTAAATCAAACTTAAATCCATAGGGCCATAAATTAGTCTGGTGAATGTCTACTCCTGTCACATAGGGCAGTGGCTAAAGCTTTTCTGCCTATTATGAAAGATAACCTTATTCTTTTTTCAAAAAATACCAGTGCTCATTTCATTTCATGGTACTTATTTATTTGTGAATAAATGAATGACAGATTCTTGCTCTGTTGCCCAGGCTAGAGTGCAATGGTCTCACCATAGCTCACTGCAACCTCAAACTCTTGGGCTCAAGTGACCTTCCTACCTCAGCCTCCCGAGTAGATGAGATTATAGGTAAATGCCATCACGCCCAGCTAGTTTTTCTATTTTAAGTATAGACAGGGTCTCACTCTTGCTGAGGCTGGTCTTGAACTCCTGGCCTAACCAATGGTCCTGCCTTTGCCTCCCAGAGTGCTAGGATTATAGGCATGAGCCACCATGTCTGGCCTACAATATTTATCAAATACCAGTTTTGTGCATGTACTATTCTAAGTATTGGAGTGCTTACTAGGTCTAATCTACATGCTAGACACTGTTGTAAATTTTATTTTTATAGATAAGAACATTAAGGCACAGAAAGACCAACTCAAGGTGACAGAACTAGTAGCTAGGATTGTAACTGGGGCATCAATCCATAGCTCATCTACCCCACAGCGAGTTCTGTATGATATTGATCAAGTACCTGGGAAGGGCAAGTACCTTTTTCATTTTAAGTATAGAGAAACTAAGGCAAGATTTTTCAGGCCAGATACCTTGCTAATATCTCCCTATAAGCTCTTTTTTTTTTTTTTTTTGAGACAAGAGTCTCACTGTGTCACCCTTGGTAGAATGCTGTGGCATCACAGCTCACAGCAACCTCAAACTCATGGGCTTAAGTGAGTCTCTTGCCTCAGCCTCCCAAATAGCTGTGACTACAGGCACCCTCCACAAAGCCTGGCTATTTTTTTGTTGCAATTGTCATTGTTGTTTAGCTGGCCAGGGCTGGGTTCAAACCTGCCTGCCTCAGTGCATGTGGCTGGCGCCGTAACGACTGTGCTATGGGCACCAAGCCTCCCTAGAAACTCTTGATGAAAGCCATTATAATTCTATAATTTATGTTCTTATGGGCAAGGGAAACAGTTGGTCTCATTGATCAAAGAATTATTTTTATAAAAAATTATCAGGTGACATACCAGTGTTCTTTTAATTAATCTTCAGGGAAGGATAAATCTTTCAGCTTAAAAAAGTTGTAACTATAACTAAAAAGCCTCATAATTTTATGCACATGAATATATTTTTTTCTAATTTTTAAAAAATTTTTAGAGACTGGGATCTTACTGTATTGCCCAGGCTGGCTTTGAACTCCTGGGCTCAAGCAATTCTCCTGCTTAGCCTCTGGAGTTTCTAGTACTATAGGTGCATGCCACCCATGCCCAAATCACACATATATATACTTTTTGTTTTGTAAAAGTTTTCAGTTAGCAGTAATCACACCTCGGATAAACCTCATTGGTTACAATCCTGTCATTGCACAAAGCTTATCTTGTTTTGTAGAGATGAGATCTTGCTGTGTTGCCTAGGCTGGTCACAAACTTCTGGCCTCAAGTGGTCCTTCTGCTTTGGCCTACGAAAGTGCTGACATAGGCATGAGCTACTGTGCCTGACCATCACAAATGTATTTTTATTTTAATTTGGGAATATAAAGATTAGGGGGAAGTAATATTGACTTTATATCTACTGCATGTTAGGTGATTTTTACTTATTTTTCATATAATATTTAATCTTCACAACAACCTTGCAATGTAGTTATGTTTCACTGTAGTTTATTTGGAAGAAAGTGTAGGTTCCTGGAATTTGATAATTGTCAGAACTGGCTTTAAATTACCTGTGTTGTCATTTTGCCTTGCTCCCTCTAGAAAGATAAACCTCAATGAGATGTTTTATCCACCCCTTAAAAGAATTGCATTCCCAATTTTCTTGTGGAAATTTTGAATATACAGACAGGTATGAAGGAGAAATAAAAGTCAATTTTAATGCCACCATCTAGACATAACTGCTGTGAATATTTTGGAGATTGATTACACTGTCTAGCTTTCTCATATTTTGAGTGCAGTTTTTGTCTTACTTTTTTCACTTAGCACATTTTAAATCCCTCATATTGTTAGTCTAAAAAGAAAACATGATTTTTAATGTTTCTGAAGAATTTTATTGTGTGTTGTGCCATAATTTATTTAACCACTCCATTTGAAGTGGACATTTATGTTGTTTTCTCTGTTCTCTCTCATTTTTAACTGAGGAGGAATAAGCCAAACTAAATTAAATAAAACAAAGCAGAAACTTTCTTTGGCCTGAGTGAGAGGGAACCAGAGGTAATAAAAGTTTGATTTTTAGAAGGTCTATGTTTATGGGTAAATTATCCCATCTTGTGAATTACTGGAAGTCATGTTTTCCATTTGCTTTTTTATAAAATGAGATGATATCATGATATATTAATGGGTTTAATAAGTGGCAGTCAGTGAAATCTGGTGGATAAACTGCAGGAAATAGGAGTTTATTTACAGTAAGGGTGGATTTAGCCAACCACCCAAATTATTGGCTTGTGGAGGCTAAATTCTTTAGTTCTTAGAATATCCTTTTGTATCTGCAAAGCAAGTGGCCTCTTTGACTTTCCACCTTCATTCTTTTCTTGTAGAGCCTCCTTGGCCATCCACAGGCTGAATCTAGCTCTGGCATACTTTAAAAAGGCGATTGGCGATGTTGTTGCTGCCAAAGGTGATAGGACGCCAGATCTGATTAGTCTATATGAGGAAATTGCTCAGATTGAACAGCTGAGGAGGAACCACGACCAGGCCATCCAGTACTTGCACCAGGTTGGTGGCTGGGCTGAGGCCCAGGCTAGGTGGTCTTATCGGCTCCAGGGTCAGGGAATCCATTCTGTTTTAACCCCAACTTCCCTCTAAATCCACACAGGAGCTCTTTGTCAACCTTTGTCAATGTGGGTAGAGGGCACTGACTCAGGTGGTGGACCTGCTGTGTCATTTGACCTGTAGATAACACTTGCCTTCCTGGCTCCCCTTCTCATCCCTGTAGGTGGTGGGAAGAAGAATCCAAGTGTGAGTCTACAAAGAAAAAAGACATAGGGGAAACTGAAACACAAAGGGCCTTTTAAATGAAAAATCATGGTATTTAGTGTAATTATGTCATTTGTTTTTTAAGCTAATCTAGCCAGATTATATTTCCAAATCTGAGGTTAAACTAACAAAAGGATGTTTCACTTGGAGGTAACTAACTTGACAAATGCCAACGGGAAACCAAAACAAAACCTAGGAAGGAATGTTGAGTCTATCATATGATAACAGTTTAGGGTACTTTTATCATGTACTCGAAACTGCTGGTTAAATCCACCTTTTCTTTTTGTTTATGACTTCAGGTATCTTCCCCAGTGACAAACAGGTCAAAAAGTGAGTTTCCTGTATCATAGAAAGGGTGTAATGCAACCTAACAGTATACCTGAAAATAGATACTGAAGAAAAGGCATTGCAAACAATCCTGCAAAGATTATAAACGGCACACAATGGAGAAACATTAGGGAATGCTGCTCTGAAAATAAGGAGCCCATTGTTGACAGAGAAAGCCAGTTTGTTTTGTGTATTCAAGACTTTTGTAAAGCAGTTGGCTAGGTCAGAATGGATAAAACTATTAATAAATATCAGAATTTCCTAGAAACACCAAAAAATAGGATTTATGGAATCATTTTGTTAAGTGCTCTTGAGGACATATTGATTCACTTAATCCTTCATTCATAATAGCCCTATGAAGTAGGTACCATTATTATTTTATCTCATTTTAAGGATGAGAACAACTCAAGTTTATAGAGAGTTGTAGCTAATTCAGCTGAAGTTGTACAGTTAACAAGGAGTAGAACAGGATTTGAACTTTGAAAATTTGGCTCTCAAGCCCGTAGTGGTAACAACTCTGCCCTGTGTCCTGGCTCCAAAGTGTTGTCTGCTAATCCCTTCAGCAATTTGAAACACCTCACAGTGTTTGGCCTGTAAAATATTAAGTACAAGTGGTTCTTTTGTTGCTAGTGAGTGTAGACTAGTTGTTTTTTTATACTTTCTCCTTCCTAAGTGTTATACTTTACAGTTTAGCACAAATGAAAAGAATAATAAAATCTTTCACGTTTTTAGTGCTTACTATAATGTATATGCCAGGTAGTATTCTAAAGAGTTTACATAAATTGATTTAATATTTACAATAACTGTGACAATTGCTGTTAATCATCTATGTTTTACATTAGAAGAGGTTAAGTTAAAAAGACTTGCCTTATGTGACAGTAAGTGGCTGAGCTGGGATGGAAAATTCAGGCACTGTGGCTGTAGGATCCATGCTTTACAAGACTGCCTTGAGACTGAACTCTTGAGAAACAGCTAAGATTATGGTTTTATTTTTGCTATGAAACCTTATGGAAATATTTCTAGTTAACATTGAGAACTTACCATGTGATAGGTACTGTGCCCAGTGCTTTACATATAGATCCACCATCTCCATCTTTCTCAAACCATAATCAGTAGGAACTATATATTGCTTCTACATGTGAAGGCAAAATTACTCACTTCAAGCTAGGAAGTGGCAGGCCTGGGAGTCAACTCATCTCTCATCTAGCTCCATGGTTAGCTATATATTGGCTCTCAATCAACTAGCAATTCTATGGGAACTACTAGAAAGTCCACAGTGAAACATTCATTTGGGTACTTACCTTTTCATAATGTTGTTTATTACAGGCTCATTCGATCTGTGTTTCTTTGTTCACTGAAGTTAGCCCTAAAACCGCAGAGACAAGTGCATTACTAGCCAAAGCTTATGCCATATCTGGAGAGGCCCAGCACAAAGGTAGGTAGACAAGCTGCCCTTGCAGTTAGGTTATCATCATTTCCCAGCCACCTGAGGGAAGCACTTTGTCAAATCATCTACTATAAATGGGATTATAATTATCTATTTGTGCCTATAGTGCAAAGATTAGGCTGGTCAAGCTTTCCTACAAAGTCAATTACAGATGAGTTTAAACCTGATAATATACCCCCAAATTAGTTGAAACATTAGAACCCCCCCCCCAAAAAAAATCTGGTTTCTATTTCCTTAAAAACTCAGCAAAAATCACCCTCATAAATAGTAGAGATTGTACACACTATGTGCGTGAACTGTGATACTGGTTGATGAGAAAATCCAATGATAAAGGAGAAAAGCATTGGTTTCTCTATTCCTCCTCTTCTACTCTAAATCTCCTTGACTCTTTTCTCTCTTTTACAAGAGAGGAGGTTTGTAGTAGTTAGAAATTTCTTGACCTATATTCACAAGGTACTAGAGTTCCAGAGGAAACCCAAATGATTAACTTAGCCTTCAACAATAATAGTTCTTTGTCCAGCAAGGTCATCTTTTTGAAAGTGGGTAACTTTAGGACAGACACAAATGAACTGTGTATTCACAGGATGGTGTATCATTCTCAGCTGTCTTTATCAGATTAATGAACACTGATGCATTTAATGGCCTATCAGGAAGAATTTAGGATTTGTGAAGAATATAATTAAAACATTTAAAAATGTTTATTTTCTTTGCTTATGAAAGTAATCCCTTTTGGGCTAGGCATGGTGGCTCATGCCTATAATCCTAGCACTCTGAGAGGCTCAGGTGAGTGGATTGCTTGAGCTCAGGAGTTTGAGACCAGCCTGAGCAAGAGCGAGACCCTGTCTCTAAAACATAACCAAGTATTGTAGCAGATACCTGTAGTCCCAGCTAGTTGGGAGGCTAAGGCAAGGGGGATCACGTGAGCCCAAGAGTTTGAGGTTGCTGTGAGCTATGACACAGCGGCACTCTACTGAGGGTAACATGCTGAGACTCTGTCTCAAAAACAAATAAAAAATGTAATCCATCATGATGCATGTTATGTTCCAGGTAAAGGAGAGGGAGAAAGAGAAAATTAGAAAGTTTTGCATCCTATGTTTTTCTTTTTTTTTGAGATAGAGCCTCAAGCTGTCCCCCTGGGTAGAGTGCTATGGCATTACAGCTCACAACAACCTCCAACTCCTGGGCTCAAGTTAGTCTCCTGCCTCAGCCTCCCAAGTAGCTGGGTCCACAGGCACCTGCTACAATGCCTGGCTATTTCTTTTGGTTGCAGCTGTCATTGTTTGGCAGGCCTGGGCTGGATTCGAACCCTCCACCTTAGGTGTATGTGACTGGTGCCTTAGCCACTTGAGCCACAGGCGCTGAGCTCCTACGTTTTTCAATGCTTGTATTATCCGTGTCAGTAAGTGAATAGTTTTTTCAGTTTGCAGAATTTATTTATTTATTTATTTTTTGAGACAGAGTCTCAAGTTGTTGCCCTGATCAGAATCTCACTATGTCAACCTCAGTAGAGTGCTGTAGCACCATAGCTCACAGCAACTTCCCAACTCTTTGGCTTAAGTGATTTTCTTGGCTTAGCCTCCGAAGGAGTTGGGACTACAGGTGCCCACCACAATGCCCAGCTATTTTTTTGTTGCAGTTGTCATTGTTTTTGTTGGCCTGGGCTGGGTTCAAACACACCAGCCTCGGTGTATGTGGCCGGCACCCTTACCCACTGAGTCATGGGCACCGCCAGTTTGCAGACTTTGTTTTAGAAATTAAAACACTTGGGCTCGGTGCCTGTGGCTCAGGTGGCTAAGGCGCCAGCCACATAGACCTAAGGTGGCGGGTTCGAATCCAGCCCAGGCCCGCCAAACAACAATGATGGCTGCAACCAAAAACTAGCCGGGCATTGTGGTGGGCGCCTGTGGTCCCAGCTACTTGGGAGGCTGAGGCAGGAGACTTACCTGAGCCCAGGAGTTGGAGGTTACTGTGAGTAGAGATGCCATGGCACTCTACCCAGGGGGACAGCTTGAGGCTCTGTCTCAAAAAGAAAAGAAATTAAAATACTTTATTATAAATATTTCTAGAATATAAACTGATTTTGTATCAAGATTCTTTGAAACTTTTAAAACTGTATGTAACTTAAGCTTATTATTATAGTAATGTGTTTCATTTTCTACTTTCTAATCTAGAAAATACATTGCAAGTGAGATCTAACAAAGGAAAAAAATAAATTGCTTCTTAGAGAAAACCAATAAACACAAAAATAGCTATTTCAAAACTATGACACACCTAATCAAGAAATAGATCTTAAAGTCTATTAATCCTCCGATTTAAAATAAATGATCTCTCAAGGAAAAATAAATCTGCCATTAAAGCAACTTGAATCAAAGCAGAACCACTCTCATTAAGGGAAATTACGTTATATGTAAGAAAAGTGTAATGCTTTAGAAAATGAGGAAAAGTAATTTCTGTGTTGGAGAGTAAGCATACTAAATACTTTCTGTTCATGTATATTTTTGTTATATGTTAAAGTACCTGTTCAGATAAGAAAAGTGATATAAACATGAACACCATAACACCAAGTTCCTGAACTATTTTTTTCAATTTAGCTTGGGGAAAACCAACTAAAAAGCTTCAAAATCCAAGGATAGACTGGTCCCAAAGCATTTCCTCCTCTGTCCTTTCTTTGCCTTGTTCTTTTTTCTCTTTTCTATGCTTACGTTCCTCTTTCTTGGAGGCTACATCTTGGCTTTTTTTCTCCTTTCAATTTTTAAGCTTTTCTGTACTGACCTGTACAGTTTCTGTTTCCACCTCTGTTTTTTTTCTTTCAGTGCTTTTGTGTTTATCTAAATCAATTTCCTCAAAACTTCTTTTCCTCTTATGCTTGGGCTGTTACTCCTTTGATTTTTCTTTGCCTTCCTTTGGGTACCTTTTCCTTTTCTGATGTATCTGTTTGTGACTGGCTTGATGAGTACTGATAACTGTTATCTGAGCAGTGAACTCCAGATTTTACACTGTATGAGCCACGATTATATTCCTGCTGACTAAAGTTCAGGGGTACTGGTTTTTCTGAGAAACAGTCCCTGGTGAATTGATAATAGCTCAGAGAGTCTAGTCTCAGCCTGCTATCACGAGCTGGTAACCACTGAGGTAACCGATTTTCCACTGTTTGTGAAATATTGCATGATCTTGGGTAGGTCTGGATGGTTTCAGATGGGAGTCTTTGATCAAACATTCTATACATGGATCTAGATTAGAATCAACCTCTAGAGTCTTTGTACCAATAGATTTCCAAATAGTCTTCTCTCATCTTTCTGAAACAAGTTTTTGGCTCTAAGCCTCTGACTTTCTGTACTTTAATATAATCTTGAAAGTTATCTTGAAAAGAGTTGTATATCTTCTTTGAGTGCTTCATTAGGTTGACAAAAAGGGATTGTCCTTATCAGGCTGAGAACTTGGTGGAGAAATCTGACCATATTCACTTAGTTATTCTGCATGAACTTGCCCCAGATAGTGAGACTATGAAATAACGGGGAAGTTTGCTGTGAGCTGTGACACCATGGTACTCTACCCAGAGTGACAGCTTGAGACTCTCATAATGTGAAATCCTTTGTTATTCAAACTGAACACTACGCCATAAACATCTTTGAACTTCTTGTAAAAAGCTATCTTTGTTTATTCAATTGTAGGCAGGGGCGGGCGTCTACAACTACTGTTCCACTCCTCCCCAACGCCGGGAGATAGGCTGTGGTGCAGGTGGCAGAGAGGCAGGAACAACCCCTGCTGCCACCGCTGCCGCCTCCACCACCGAGCACTGCAGAATTTTTGATATTTTAATTATTTTCTTAAGCATGAATGTCTACTTAGGACTTCCTGATTCCTCATTTTTCAGCTAATCATTTTTCTCCTTTGAAAATATTCTTGTATATACTTACAGTGCATATGTTCTATACATATTTGAGTCTTACAAAGTTGTCTTTGTGGTTATAAGAAATTTAATCTATTTGTAAATATGTGCAATTTTTATCTTTTTGTTACTGTTGTTTTATTGTTGTGTTGCTGTGTCATCCTTGGCATGATCATAGCTCACTGCAGCCCACACTTTTGGGTTCAAGTGATCCTCTTGCCTTGGCTTCCTGAGTACCAGGGACTATAGGCTGCCACTGCACCTGGCTAATTTTTCTATTTTTAGTAGAGATGGGGTTCCACTATGTTGTAAACACTGGCCTGAAACTCATGTGCTAGGATTACAGTGTGAGCCACCATGCCTAACCTCACTTTTTTTTTTTAAGTGTAAAAAGCATGGAGTGTCCAAGGCTACCTTATTCTTTTCTTACATACTATTTCTTTTTTTTTTTTTTTAATTGAGATGGAGCCTTGAGCTATCCCCCTGGGTAGAGTGCCATGGCATCACGCTCACAGCAACCTCCAAGTCCTGGGCTCAAGCGAGTCTCCTGCCTCAGCCTCCCAAGTAGCTGGGACTACAGGCGCCTGCCACAACACCTGGCTGTTTTTTTGTTTTTTGTTTTTTGTTTTTTTTTTGGTTGCAGCCATCATTGTCGTTTGGTGGGCCCAGGCTGTGGATTCGAACCCGCCACCTTAGGTGTATGTGGCTGGCACCTTAGCCGCTTGAGCCACAGGCACTGAGCCCATACTATTTCTTAATTACAAAGAAAATATAGGTCTTCACATTACATGATTGACTAATTCAAATTCCAGATTAACAGTTTATATATCAAAATTTAAAATATAAATTAGATAGAAGAATGTGTAGTATTAGAATAAAAAATACTAAAATGAGGTCATACCAAAAGAAGGGATTGACAGATTTAATTACAAAAAGATTTAAAGCTTGTATCTGGCCCAAAGTACCATAAATAAAATTAAAAACAACTTAGTCAAGTCGATTGATAACCTAAATAGACTCTTAAGATGAATTTGTAGTTATCTTTCTAAGAAAAATCTCCAGGTCCAGATGAATTTACTGGATAATTCTGTCATTTAAAGAAGGAATAATGCCAATTCTACGTAACTTCTCTCAAAAATAGAAGAGGAGGAAATAGTTTGTAACTAATTTTAGACGCCCAGCATTACCCTAATATCAAAGCTTGGCAAAAACACTAGAAAAAAAACAACAAAAAGACAACTACATACCAATACCTTTCACACATGTAGATGAAAAAATTATTAAGAAAAAACACAGCACTACATAAAAAAAAATACAGCATGATCAAGTAAGGTTTTTTCTCAATAATGTCAGACTGTTTCACTATTCAAACCTTAATCCATATACTTCTGCCATATTAATAGTCCAGAGATAAAAATCATGTGATCTTATTTGATGTAGAAAAAGAATTTGACTAAATTCAACATCCATTCATGATGGAAGGCAGCTTTCTCAATTTATTAAAAATAAGCATATATGAAAATCCTACACCTAACAGCATACTTAGTGATGAAAGACTGAGTGCTTTCTCCATAAGACCTAGAACACGGCTCGGCGCCCTTAGCATACACCAAGGCTGACGGTTTGAAACTGGCCCAGGCCAGCTAAACAGTAATGACAACTGCGACAAAAAGTAGCTGGGCGTTGTGTTGGGTGCCTATAGTCCCAGCTACTTGAGAGGCTTAGGCAAGAGAATCGCTTAAGCCCCGAGTTAGAGATTTCTGTGAGCTGTGATGTCATCTCACTCTATTGAGGGCAATATAGTGAGACTCTGTCTCCAGAAAAAAAAAAAGTCGCAAAACAAGACAAGGATATACACTCTTGCCACTCCTTTTCAACATTATACTGGTAGACCTAGTTAATGCAATGAAACAAGGAAATACAAGCTATACTATTTGGAAAGGAAGATATGAAACTGTTTTTGTTTGCAGATGATATAATTGTCTAATTATAAAATTTGAAAGAATTGATGACAGATCTCTTGAAACTAATAAGTAATTATAGAAAAATTGCTAGATAGTAAGTTAATGTACAAAAGTAAATCACTTTTTCATATACCACAAGGAGCAAGTGGACTTTGAAATTAGAAACTACCATTTACATTAGCATCTGAAGAAATGAAATTATCAGGCATAAATTTAACAAAATATTTGCAAGAGATATATATGAGTAAAACTATAGAACTCTGATGCAGTTAAGGAACTAGCAGGCACAGTGGCACCTGCCTGCAGTTCCATCTACTTGGAAGGCTGAGGTTCAAGGATCAATGGAGTACAGTTTGAGACTAGTCTGGGAAATGTAGGATGACTCCTATTTCCAGAGAGAGAGAGAGAAAAGAAAGATATTCCGTGTTCATGGATAAGAAGATTTGATATTGTCAAGATATCAGTTGTTTTCAACTAGATTCATCTCAAGTTCAATTCCAAAGTCCCATCAAATTATTTTGTGGATATTGATAAACCGATTTGAAGTTTATATGGGTAGGCCAAAATAGCCAACATAGCGTTGAAAGAGAAGAAAAATATTGGAGGACTGACACTACATGACTTTAAGACTTTTTATAAAGCTACAGTAATCAAGACAGTGTAGTTGGTATTACCAAAATTTTCTCATTGTTCCTATGCATTTTCTAGATGGATTACATAAACAGTATTATGTTTATGTAATGTCCTATGTTGGAATAAGAGACAATGTTAAAATTAAATTTTCAAACAATTACAACTGTATTTTTGAAGTACTTTTAAAATTATGGCTTACTCCCACCCCACAAAATAGGAACCTCAGTAAACAGTACTTGCTATCAGAGCTTAATTTAGCTAAAATATGGTCTAGATGTGTACCTGGTAGTTTAATATGGTAGTTATATAGAGTCTTAGGGTTAATAAGACTGGTTATGCAGAAGCTTTCTTTTACTACAGAAAATTTATACATTTCATAAGGAGAATAAAAATTACAACATCATCTGATTCCATCAAGTCATATCTTGGCTTTTAAGAGTCCTTATGAGACTTGGAATGAAAACAGGCACGAACTTCAAGCATGAAAATATCAGTTGAGCTAGAACTGATACTAGACACTTGTAAAGGTTAGAAGTTTGCATTATATAATTGTTAATATTTTTTCCAGATGCTGTTGAGGTATATTTTATAAAAAGTATCAGTGCATATCAAGCAACACTGGGCTCAGAAGATTTTGAAACACTGAGTACCATTGAAGATTTTTGCAAGTGGCTTATCCAAAATGGGGAAAAACAGGTAACTATGATCAATTCATAGTGATAATTGCTAGTTTCTTAGATGAAGACAGCTTTTTTCATATTAAATTCAGAAGCTGGAGCTCAGACAAGTCTCAGATTAAACCAGGATTAACACACAGGACTGGTACAGCTTGGGATATTAGTAAAAAAGTGTTTTTCTCATATCTTGATAACAAAGTCCTTTAAATCTAGGAAATATATAAATTAAATTTAACATTTTAAGTCAAAATTGGCTTCCACTTTTGGATCTAGCTACCAGGTGTTTTGGTGTGGAGGTCTTTTGCTCTCAATCTGATCTTCAACTTTTAATTAGCCACAATTTTGTTTTCACATTTTAAAAAAGTTATAGAAAATGCTTTTTTGTTGCTAACTTTTTTACCTGTAAGTAAAAAACTTTGGCCTGAACTTTATGTAGCAGCATGTACACCAAGCATCCTCAAACTGCAGCACGCGGGCCACATGCAGCCCGCCTATGACATTTATCCGACCTGCAGGGTGTTTTTGTGCCCCTGCCTCCCTGCTTAGCAGCTTTCTTGTATATCGGCCTTCTGGACAAAAACACAAAAGGACCTAAGTTCCAGATGTGTCTGACTCTAGATCAGTAGGCCTATGGACAGGTGACTTTTACCACTAGAAAGCAAGCTCCATGAGGGCAGTAATTTTTGTCTGTTTTTTTCACTGCCGTGTCTTCAATGCCTGAAATGGTAACCAGCACATAGTAGGTGCTTGTTAACTTTTTTCTTTTTTTATTTGCCATTGTGTTAAACTTTTCAATGAAATGTGAGGCCAGTTCTAGAGAACCATAATAGAAACTCAGAGTCTTTGGAATTGTGTTCTCATGGAATGTAATTTTGGAGGGATAAATAGAAGTTTAATCTCTCACTAAAAAAAAAAAACAGAAACCATTTGGCTAGAACCAATGCTTTCTAGTAATTCATCCAGAGTAACAAACAAAGAGAAAAGAGGAGAGACACTCACTACATATTGTCTAGGGCTTTTAGAAAACAAAGTTGTTCCTTTGGCCATATACATGTAAATCTTCAGGAAAAATGATATTGTATATATCAAGGGTGGGGGGCACTGCTTAAAAAGAAATGCCCCACAGGTTTTATTATAGCAAAACTAGAAGAGTCTGAAGGTTATCCAGTGTGCTGTTGGTATCGTAAACGCCCAAGCTCAGGTTAAGATTGTAACAGCAGAATGAATATATTCAGCATATTAATCATTGTAAGAGTTAAGCTAGCATCTTGAAACTTGTGAAAGAAAATGGTGAGAAAATTCATTAGTTTGAACTGACATGCTAGTCTGCTTTACTCAAGAGAAGCACAGTTTGTAGGAAATAATGATATGAAGCCTGAGCTACTGGAACCTATCCCCTATTAATAGCTAGATGAAGAAAAAGAGAGAGAAGACTTAAATAAAATAAAAAATGAAAGAGAACACATAAACTGATGCCACAACAATTGAAAGGATTAGAAGAGACAATGATGAACAATTATGTACCAACAAATTAGATAACCTAAAAGAAATGGATAAATTTTTAGAAACAGATAACCTGCCTAGACTGAATCATGAAGTAATAGAAAATATAAACAGACATTTTATAAGGAGATTGAGTCACTAGTCAGAAACCTCCCTACAAAGCCCAGGACCAGATGGCTTTAGTGATAAATTCTACCAAACATTTAAAGTAGGGGTGTCCAACCTGTGGTCCAGTGGCTGTGTGCTAATTTTGTGAGTACATTTTTTTGCTTATCTGTGGTGTCAGATATCACAAAAAGTATACACAGAGCTTTGATTTTTTTTGTTGTTGTTAACAGCCTCTGTTAGTGTTTGTGTATTTAATGTGTGGCTCAAGACAACTCTTAATTTTCTAATGTGCAGCAGCAAAAAAAAGGTTAGACACTCATGGTTAAAGAATTATTGATAATTCTTTTCAAAACCTTTTAGAAAATTGAAAGGGAAGGATTACTTTCAAAGTGAGGCTAGTATTACCCTTAAATCAAAGCCAGAAAAAGACACTACAAGAAAAGGAAAATATAGGCCAATGTTTCCAATGAATATAGATGGGAAAAATTCTCAAAAAAAATACTAGCAAACCAAATTCAACAGCACCTTAAAAGAATTGTACACCATGATAAATTAGGATTTTTCACTGGAATGCAAGAATGGTTCCACATACAAAAATCAATGTGATACACCACTTTAACAGAATGAAGAATAAAAATCATATGATAATCTCCAAGATACAGAAAAAGCATTTGACAAAGTTTAATACCTTTTTATGATTAAATAAAAACAAAATCAAAAACCAGAAATAGAAAGAAATTAATTCAACATAACACAAGTCATAAAGATAGTATCATACTCAGTGGTGAAAAACTGAGGACTTTTTCTCTAAGATCAGAAATATAGTACTGGAAGTACTAGCCAGAGCAGTTAGGCATGAAAAAGAAATAGAAGACATCCAAATTTGAAAGAAAGAAGTAGAATTATCTCTGTTCACAGAATGACATTGATTTTATATAGGAAACCCCAAAGATTCCTCCAGAAAAACTAACAAAAAATTGTTAGAATTAATAAATTCAGCAAAGTTATAGGTGAAAAAAATCAATATACAAAAATCAATAGCATTTTTATTAAGGTATACTAACAGTGACCAAGTTAAAAATTAAGAAAATAATGCCATTTACAACAGCATAAAAACACATAAAATACTTAGAAATAAACTTTACCAAGTAGGCAAAAGGCTTATAAAATGAAAAAATAAAAAGGAGAATAATCTAATTATATGTATGCTTTCCTACTGTGAAAATGTAAAAATATTATAATAGCTTTGAGATTACTGAGTTATTGGCACTGTTTTCTGAAAAGCAGAAGTTGCCTTTCTTTATGTGTTCGTTGTTCTGACATGCCACATAAGGCATTGATGATTACATATTCAACCCAGTTAGGAAGAAATGTTCTGTTTATACATGTCCATATAGATAGTAACAGGCAGTGAGTGGGTTATGTGCAATTCTCGAGGCTGCCAACTATAGTTATACCTCTCTACTCTCTCTAAAGAAAGTATATTAGGAAGGCAAATGAGTACAAGTAATACTGCTCTATGAATAATTTTCAGTCATATTTAGTTTTATTTTTTGTTATATGGTAAGTACTTAAGAATAAGAGCAAGGCTGAAAGAGAACTGGTCTGGATTTTAAACAAATATCAGTGTCTCCAGGCACTGTAGGGTATGCCTGGTGACTGTAGGGTAGTCCAGCTATGGGGGACGCTGACATGGGAGGATCACTTGTACCCGAGTTTGAGGCTTCAGTGAGCTATATTCAAGCCTGTATATAGGCACTCCACTCTAGCCTGTGCAACCCATCTCAAAAAAAAAAAAGTTTGCTATGAAAAATACAGCAGCCAGGAGAAGTGTTATAGATTGAAGAAGACTAAAGAATCTTGGAAACTAAATGCAATATATAATGCTTGATTAGACACTAGATTTTAAAGAGTTACAAAAAAACATTATTGGGACAATTGAGAAATTTGAATATGCAGCATATGTTAGTATTGATGAAAAAATTGAATGATAATGTTGTAGTTATAAAAGAGAATGTCTTATTCTAACATGACACATATTGAAGTATTTAGGGGTATTTTCATGACTACAACTTAATTTCTTCAAAAATATATGTGTGTGCATTTGTACTTATATTTGTATGGACATTATTTTTTAAAGAGAGCATAATAAAGCAAATGGGGGAAATGCTGAATCTATTGAAAATTTTGTGGCATTTATTCTACTATTCTTTCAGCTTTTCTAAAGGTTTGAAAAAATTATTTTTAAGAGTAGGTTAAAAAAAAAAAAAGGAGTAAGGGTTATGGAGTTCAGGCTGCCTGGTATCTGAGTCCTCCTAGCTATAAGCTCTGAGATCTTGAGTATGGTCTTTAGCTGCTATTAGTTTCCATTCCTTTCTTCTGTAAATGAGTACAATAATAATTACTCTCTCTTAGGGTAGCTATGAAGATCAAATAATATTATACATACCAATTAACTATTGTTAATTATAAGCTCAGAACTTTAACTGATAATAGAGACAAATTACTTAGGTGAGACATCATTACTGACTGATCCTGCTGGGTTATGTCATTGTCAGGAAAAGTGGCTTCTTCATAGAGCTAATGTAATAGAACTGGCATGCTCCCCCATAAAAATGTTTTTAATCCTGCAGGAGGCTTACAGACTGCTAAAGACTTCATTGAAGTCCCAGATCATCAGCTATGGTGACTGTAGTGAAAAAGTGGCTGAAACTTTTTATAACATGGGCAGGATCTGCTTTGCCAAAGGCGATCTCAAAAAGGCAATTCAGCTGCTAAAGAAGGTGAATCCTGGTTGGTTTTGTTACATTTTCTCCTGGGGTTCTAAGCAGAATGTTAGGAATGATGTATGTATGTATGTTTTCCCCTTCTCTTCCTTGCCTTTTCTTTTTTTGCTTCTCTCCTTCTCTCTCTCTCTCTCTCTCTTTCTTTTTTTTGAAGTGATACGTTCTCTTTTGAAAACTCTCTGCTTTTTTAGATGTGCTTAAGAGCTCATTTTTTTGCAGTGGAGTGTAGCAAGAGGCATCCAACCAGTCAGTATACTGACAGAACCAAGACTTAAGATCCAATAAGATAGATAAGGATATCTCTGCATAATAAAATCTAAGTTTGTCAAATTCAGAGGAAAAGTCAGTAGAGATCAACCAATAGTTGGGTGAGCAGAGGGTGGAATCAGAAGCAACCTACACATGTACATTAGCAAACATCAGGTATGGAGAGATTTTTATCTTGTTTCAGGTTAATCTACTATAATCAGAAAATGGTAAATAACAAGATAAAGGGGACCTCATTTTGAAGATGTAGGGTAAAAGAATAAAGCCTTTTAAAAATAAGTTGTAGGAACCAGAATAGCTTCTTCAAGGGAAGCACGAACACATAATAGCATCCATGTAATGGGAACAGGAACTTT